TGGGCACTGCCGGACCTCAACGGCGAATTCCAGATCCCAGTGGGCACTGCCGGACCTCAACGGCGAATTCCTGATCGCAGTGGGCACTGCCGGACCTCAATCGCGACTTCCAGGTCGCAGTGGGCACTGCCGGACCTCAACCGCGACTTCCAGATCGCAATGGGCACTGCCGGACCTCAACGGCGAATTCCAGATCGCAGTGGGCACTGCCGGACCTCAACCCCGACTTCCAGATCGCAGTGGGCACTGCCGGACCCCAACGGCCAGATGGAATGCCAGAAGATCTGCCAAATGGATTGCCAGATAGAATGCCAGAAGATAGGTCAGATAAAATGCCAGAAGATATGCCAGATAGAATGCCAGAAGATAGGTCAGATAGAATGCCAGAAGAAATGCCAGATAGAATGCCAGAAGGTTTGCCAGATAGAATGCCAGAAAATATGCCAGCATATGCCAGAAGATATGCCAGATAGAATGCAAGAAGATATGCCAGATAGAATGCCAGAAGATTTGCCAGTAAAAAAATGTATAAATGTCATGGTGGGGATCACACGAAGTAAAGTAATGTGTTTTCCTGTTTCTTGGGTTCCTGGGGGAAACCTTCGCCCTGACAAGCATCCATTGGTTAGCACAATTTTTACTCCTCCACATTTTATATTAGCGTTTTAGCCATCAAACAACATGTACAGTGAAAACAAACTCTATCACCCACCTCTTTAGGTACTACATTGGACTGATGTTTTATTATGTTTTATTGGTATGCCGAGGTTTGTTTCCCAATCTTTCAAGGGTTGGCACATGTTCGTCAAACCTGGAATCACTAAAAGTGATCACCAACTAATTTTTTTAATGGTGTGTTTGAGCAAAATTTTGTTGAATAAAAATATGTTTGCCTCAAAGTGGTTGCCCCTTCAAAAAGGCAGTCTTGTATCCCTCACGACACGATCCCTCTGAAGAAGGATGTTGTTTTCCCGTGGAAAAAACAAGTACTATTTTGTAGGATGCCGCTGTATTTTTCGTGGCAACCCTTGCAGGTAGACCATTTTTTGAGGAAATGATTGTAATCCTTTGCAAAAACATATGTTTTTTGAAGGTTTATTTTTTCATTGTACAATGTACCAGGTTGAAAGAAACAACCGTATTGTAGTCACGCGTTATTTCTTGAAAAACAATTGTCTAAGATGCACTATCCTTTAAATCGAAACGTATGGTTGAAATATCTCACAGCCTACAATCCATTATTCCTTTTGAGAGGGGCAGCACTTGTGCAGAGCATGCAATATTTTTTTTCAAGGATTTGTTTGTCTTATTACGTTTTCACAAAGGTACCGCACACAACCCACTGCAGAAAACAGAGTAGTTTTCAAGATGTATGATTTTCCCCACCAGGGGGGAAAAAAACATGTTCAAGATGCAGCGGTCTTTTCAGGAAGTTCATTTTTAAAGTTTCAACCGCGCCAATTCATGCATAATGATGGGTATAAAAATAAAACTTTCACCACTCATCACCACTCCACCCCCCATGGCAGGCGGCCCTGTAGAAAAAACAAACGTATTCCATTTTTTTGTCAAAGAATCGGAAAAAATATTGCCAAAAATTGGATATCGAAATTTCACCCTAGTATTATATTTAAAACCTTGAATTTCACAAACGGACCCTAATAAAAAAACACCCCGGGGTTGATTAAGGGGTGAAACCTACAAAGACTAGTTTCATTTGCAATTTTTTGTCTAGAGGGGATCAATTAAAAGTGAAATTAGCCAACCTCAATTTTTTCCAAATTGGAGACGGACCCTGGTTTTTATTATTTGGTGATTGGTTTGGCAATAGGGGGAAGGGATTTATTTGTTATGTTCCTATATGCTGTGGGCCATGGTCATATCGCATATGATGTTTAAAAGGAGGAGGCATACACGGTTTCAAAATGCATCAAAATGCAATCCGCCAATGGTAGCCAGTGCGTTCAAATTTTGGAAAATTTTGATAAGAATGCACGCCTGGAAAAAAAAACGACGCATTATATTTTGCATAATTTTTATGACATAATACATGTTTTTTTTGTTTAGCAAACATCACCCATTGAACATATCCACAGCCAGTTGGAAAAAACGCCAGGAACTTCCTTACTTTCTTAAACTGAACCAAATCTTGTTGATAAAATAAGGGTGTGTTTTCAAACGGTGTATCCATCCTCTGGTTTCACGACAACTGGTTATCCTTGATGCCGTACCATGAGTGTATCACACAATTTGATGTTAATTCCCTAATTATGTATTTGTAGCATCCCCCTTACCATTTCCACTACTAAAAGGGTGAACACGTGCTTGGTACCATCCTCTGATTCGTGGATAATTCAAGCAAAAAAAATGGACCCGTGCACCAGTTTTTGTAGTAAAAGGGTGCGCACTGTATCTTGTAGCGGCGTTCCATTTTACACTCATAAATCGGAAATGCATTTTGTAGTGATTTATTTTGGGATGCGTTGTGTCGTGCCGGAAACCCTATAGCCCTCTTTTACCAGTCATGCTCGGTCACATGAACATATAGCTTGGACCCTCAGACCATTTTTGGCTCTTGACTCACGATTATTTCGTGGTAAGATGAGCCCCCAAAAAATCGAAAAACAACAAATAAGGTAGAGACTTTAAGACGGAAAAATGGGACAGACTTGGTTTCAAAACCAATCAATTGAAACTGAAGTTGTGCGCTCAGATCGTTTTTGCTGCCCCATAGCTCTGACGATTGCAGTTCAAAACCTCTGCGCCGTGCTTTTGTCACACCTTTTTTGGCCATCACATGCGATTATTAATTAAAATCTAAATCTATCCCATTCTACTAGGTTCCTGCTCTTTTTGTCCAATAGTCAAGTTTCACCCAAGTTCAACGAATCCATGCTCAGAGTTCCTTTCACCCACAATGTCACAAAGCACAGATTCGATACGTGATGTCCTAGTTTCTGGATGACTTTTGTCATGCACTGCATTTTGTAGTGACACACGCGTGCACAACCTTTTGTAGAACCTTCTGCGCCCCCCTCCAGATAAGCCCCAAAAAGTTCGAAAAACATGCTTTTTATATAGAGACTTTAAGGAGGAAAAATGAGACAGATTTGGTTCAAAACCGATCAATTGAATTTGAAATTGTGCGCTTAGATCGTTTTTGCTGCCCCATAGCTCTGACGATTGCAGTTCAAAACCTCTGCGCCGTGCTTTTGTCACACCTTTTTTGGCCATCACATGCGATTATTAATTAAAATCTAAATCTATCCCATTCTACTAGGTTCCTGCTCTTTTTGTCCAATAGTCAAGTTTCACCCCAGTTCAACGAATCCATGCTCAGAGTTCCTTTCACCCACAATGTCACAAAGCACAGATTCGATGCGTGATGTCCTAGTTTCTGGATGACTTGTGTCATGCACTGCATTTTGTAGTGACACACGCGTGCACAACCTTTTGTAGAACCTACTGCGCCCCCCTCCAGATAAGCCCCAAAAAGTTCGAAAAGCATGTTTTTTATGTAGAGACTTTAAGAAGGAAAAATGGGACAGATTTGGTTTCAAAACCAATCAATTGAAACTGAAGTTGTGCGCTCAGATCGTTTTTGCTGCCCCATAGCATTTCCCCTAGTAAATACTATGACCCATTTAGTAGCGAATCATTATTTTTCATTGCAACCCGTTTTCACTACAAAATGGTTCCGTAAAATCATTTTGTAGTGACCGACATTGGCTTTTGATCCATCATAAAAACACCCAAACCATTTTGTAGCAAGGGGGGTTGGTTCAGATTCAAGCTTCATTTTGTAGTATAAGGCTGTGTTTGTAAACGGTTTAGTGGGCACAACTTCTCTGCAGAATGCACACAGGGATTTTGTAGCCAGGTGGAATCACACCAATGCCCTGCCATGGTGCAACTTGTTACACTTGAAATCTTATTTTTTTCATTGTCCGTGGACAAACATGTAATGCTAAATGAGGATTATTTGCAGTTTGAACTGTGCAGCCCACGAGTGTTCCAAAAGGACTATGTAAAGCAAGCAATGCTCTAAAATTTTGTTTCCACAAATATGCGCCATCTTCATCCGGAAAAAACAAACATCACGTTTAAATTGGTGGTTGCGTTGGACTAGCACATTTTTTTAACATAAAACGGATTGTGTGTTGTTTTGAAGGTAACAAATTGGTGCACGCTCCAGCATGTACTGGGAAAATTGAACAAACAAACATTATCGCATGTTGGATACACCGCTCAAACTCCACCTGGCAATTGCTGTGACAGAATAGCTTTGTGCCAGGGCCGAAATTACCAATTGTTTGTATGAATTATTTAATTTTATTACTGGTTTTGTGGATATTTTCATGATTTGAGCTAAGTACCTGAAGTAACATTGGTTTGTTGTTGTCCATGCGCGGGCCGTTTCTACATGTTTCTACTGGAAATACTGTTTACATTGGTTGAAACCATACACACAAAAACATCAAAAACCAATAACATGAAAACAAAAAAAAAACAACGACAAAAAAAAATATGTCAATCCATTGGCGTTTTCCAAATGAAATGAATTTGGGTTTCCTTAGGCAAGTACCGCATTCTTGCCAGAATATTGATGTTAAATTTCAAACATCGTCGGCGATTGACGCAATTTTTTGGATGAGTGGCGCATTTCCTTCAAATGAATGGGATGCACTTTCAAAAGGACATGGTGTTCAAGAAACGTTGCCACTTTTCAAAACACATTTTTTCTTGAAAACAGTGTGACATGCTTTTAATGTTACCTTCAAACATTGATCAACGCTGAAATATGAAGGGAGTGTTACCTCTTGAGTAGACACATTTCATGTTCACCACGAATACACGCAATTAGTTTCTGCAACATTATTGTTTTTGTCCAGGCCTAATATTTCCAGACCAATTATGCGTAGTTGAACTTTTGATTGGCATTCGATTTTGAAATTAATTTTTTCCAAGCTTTTGGGCCCAAGAGCCGGCCAGTTGGCTCCATGATTCCCGTGCTCTGCACCCATGTGAAAGCCTTGTCCTTGCCCCGTTTGGAGGACGCCTTGCTGGCAGATGACTGGGCTTTACCCGGTTGCCTGGTTTGGGACTACTGGCGCAGCCACAAGGTGCGCGACTTCACGGCGGAGCCTTGGCACTGGGCCACCCCACCGGATCCTTCCAAAAGCCGCACCGTCAGCGGCACGCGAAAAGTCTCCATGGTCATGCCCGTGCCCCCGCAGCCCATGTGTCCACCCGAGACGCGCGTCACGGTGAGTTATGATGTGGGACTGGCGCATGATGAGCACGGCAAGGACATTCTTCATGTGAAATCCTCCGCGGTGTCTCATGATGCGTCTGGGTTCAGAATTGGGGTCGGCGATGGTCGGTGTTGTTTGGGAGGAACTGTTTTCGGAGGTCAGGCCGAACTCGAAATAGGAACTGCATGCTAAGCAAGAAAACCGCTGTCACACAGAACGGGAATACCAGGTAAGATTAACTTATACCAGAAACGGATCCATTAGGATTGTATGTGGTCCATGTGTGGGGGTTCATTTTAGAGCACGAGCATGCCGGGCGTCCTTGAGGACTGCCATTTTTATGTTTGCGCAAATTCTATGTAAATGTTTCCAAGAATTGAGTGCCGGTTTTGCATAATTACATGAACGTTTCCATTTTGTGGTGTATTGTTTGAAACAAATTTATTTCCGACCGCAATGAACGCATTTCCATGGCCGATCCTTGCACGAGGTGCCTTACGGTGACCATTTCAGCGTGGAGGAAAAAATCGAAATGCTTCGAGAAGGTGATGGCGTTCTCGTCACCAAATCGTGGTCTGCAGATTTCGTAAAACGGACGTTCTTGCGGTCTATGATTGTGTCAAGTGCCACTCAGATTTGGTCCAGCTATGTCCAGATTCAATTTGTAAGCGTTTGTTTGTTTGCTTGTTTTTGATTGTTTATCAGCGTTGATCTCAATTTTTGGCGAACCCGAACTGGTAAGAGTTAAAAAATAAACCTGAAGCATCATGCAACCTTTTTTCAGATGGAAAATTCATGAAGTTTCCTCTTGATAGATGATTTTTCAATTTAAATGCCATCTGTTCTTTCCCAGCTAGCCGTGTTTGCTTACCAGAGGGTCACCTGCAATATCTATGTTTTGGTTTCCCAACACTTGTGGCGAGGTAAAGAACTCGCAGAAGGACACGTGCGACAAATTGATGGACGTGTTGCTGGGTGCAACTGGCGTGCATCACTTTAATAAGGCCTATGTATGACGTGGCAGTGGAAAGTGGCCCATGCGTTTTTTTTTGTAAATGTTTATTTGCCGGAGAGCACTTTTGTTCAAACTTATGCATGTGGGTTAATGTGTGTGCGTGCATGTGTGTGAACTTATGAAATTATGAGAAATGAATATGCATATGTGTTTTGAATCTGAACGAAACAGAACACATGGGCGTTTACATAAGCATGTATTTTATGGACGGATGGATCGATCGATCGATAGATTTACAGATATGATAGATAAACATAATTGCAGGGAGAGCGGGGGTAAACGGAACGTAGAACCAAAATTTATGTGTCAGTTGTTGATTTGTTTTTTCCATTAAGGAACCCATAGTTTGCGCAAAATGTTGGTTGTGTTGGGTGTTTTTGTTGTTTTTTGTGAAGGTTTTGTTTACAACTTAATCATTGTGACAACAAGGCTCTGCAAAACAAGATGTGCAGTCAAATGGCAAACAGGAAATATGTTTTTTTTCTTTATTATTCTTACTTCATCTCATGGTAAACTTATATTTCAAAAAAAATAACGGCGACTACTTCTTGAGTGCAGGCTGGATAATTTATGTGTGGATCTTGAATGACCTTGACCGTTACTTAAGAATAGGAAACAAGTGCACCATCCTCTTCAAATAGCTCTCTTTCTCCGTCTCGAACGATTGACATACTGTAGCTTGCTGACAAGGCTTTGCCAGATAGAAATGACAAACAGGATACGCCTCCACTTCTTGAGTTGCAACATTACCACCATCCTTCTTATTCAGACTGGATGTGTTTGCACAGATCTCACATATATAATCATATATATATAATTATATATATATATCAAAATCCATATATCCTAATCACGCCTACTGCATTTTTAATATTCAATGACCTGATGCTATTTCAAACGACTATATATACAATATGTGCTGTGATGATCATATTGTTTCTAGCAGTAAGCCATCCTCATCACCTCGGTCAAACTAGCCACCTATTGATATTGTATAGTCCAAGGTGCAAAATTCGCCTATTCGTATCGCATGTGGTGCAGCAGGTGTTTTTTTCTCCATTGTATGTTTTACAATAATTGCAAGTAATTGCTCGTAATTATTCGCAAACATCGCAAGAGAAATCAATATCATCACAACAATCTGTAAACACCAGTGATGCACAAAAGGCTGTGAATAAATATTTGTGGTTTTTGACACCACATAACAGCCTTTTCTGAGGTGAAGTCCATTTGTTGATCCAAAATAACGGTTTAAACGACTTTTCGTCACAAAACATTGGAAATACAAGTAGGTTTCTTCTTTTAATTCACAAAATCATTCGGGCCATTTCCTTATTGCATCCAAAAAAAACACATCACACTATTTTTCATTTTTTTGAATATAAAATATTTTTTTATCCAAAAGCACTACTCTAGAGGGGTTTGGACCCCAAAAAATGAAATAAACATATATATATATATATATTTATACATACATACATATGTTGCAGCATTTAATTCTACATATGTTTGACGCATTTGTGACGCAGACCGCTGAATTTGTTTGCATTTGTTGTGGCATTTGTTTGCATTTGTTGTGGCATTTGTTTGCATTTGTTTGCATTTGTTGTTACATTTGTTTGCATTGTTGTGGGATTTCTTTGCATTTGTTGTGGCATTTGTTTTTGTTTGTTCTTCAATGTTCTACATATATGTTTGCGAATGTACTGGCACAAACCGTAAATGTTGGAACAAATGTAAGCGTATATGCAATAAATGTAATTGTATATGTAAGTATATCTGTAAATAAATGCATCAACAAATGCATAAAGTCGTTACCTTGTGAAAATAGAGTCTTATTTAGTGTAATGACATAAATTAGGATTTTATTGTCGCAAAATACGATCTTATGCATTTGGTGTTGCGTATGAGTGCATTTATCTATGCATTTCTGAATGCATGTGTTTGCATTTGTCGTGGCACAAATTTTATGTGTTACGAAAAAATACGGTCCAATAAAAGCACATTTGTCGAGCCGGCACCATATATCTAACCACAAATGTCGAGCGAGTAAGGCCAAATGCAAAGACATATGATGTGAATTGATGTGACATATATTGACATATGTTCAGAAATTAAAGCACAAATGTAGAGAAATGCAAACACAAATGTTGTGAAATGCAAACACAAACGTTTCTATATATGTAAGGTGAAATGTTGAACGCCTAAAAAAATGAAAACATATATGTTTGTTAGCGTCGGTATAAATGTAAAATCAATACAAAAAGAAATGCAGTACATGCACGTATGCCTCCGTATGGGGTCTATAGAGAAGGCCTTCAAAAAGTTTTTGAATTAAACTAATAATATACAATCATCATTTGGCCCTTGTCAGTGCCTGAGACGATTGAGAAAAGTGCCTTGAGCCAAGGTTGCAGTCCTATGCCGATGAAGATGGGTCTCCACTGGACAGTTATTTTGGATCCCCTCTTTCACGGAGCCCCAAGGATTCGGAAGCGGCACTGCTGGACAGTGCCTGAGATTTGAGGGCCTTGAAGAGTTTGGTTCAACGATCCTCCACATATCAAGGGCCCCGAAAATCCTTGAAATCTATGCGTAGGTATCCCCACAATGGGTGCTGGCATAGTCATTTGTCGGGCCTGGTTTCGTTGAAACAATGGGACTGAACGGTTTGATACGGCCATCAGCATCAGACCATGACCCGCGCACTGCTGAGGTGATGGGGAGGAATTCATGTCAGTCGAGGGCGACGACTCGCCCTTTGAAGACATTGATGATGGCGTTGCTCGTCGCAATGAACGAACCCCCAATCTGTGGCTAAGATCGGGATTTTTGGGTAAACATTGTTTTTTTTGTGCAACCGCCTTTTTTTTATTTTTTTTATAGTGTATAAAAATCATTCATTAAGGGCCCAAGCAGATCAAGAAATCTAACAATCAAATACCACCTGTGGATCAGCAGGTCCCTGCTGAGATTAGTTTATATGACCATTTTATGTATTTAGACTTTAGTTTTCGTCTCGTCGCGTGTTGGTGCTGCGAACAAGAAACTGATGGTGCTTCCCACCAAACCACCCATTCAAGTCGGTGATATGAAAGGGTCAGGATTCGTTTCCAACTATGTTTTTCCTACCTTCAGCTTACAAGTAAAAAATCGGCCCATGTTTAATGCAATTGTTTCAATGTGAGCAAAGTTTTGCTTAAGGATACGCCCACCATTATCACTAATCCCTATTCCAAAAGATTCCCAGACGGGTTGCAACCCTTGAATTTTCATGCTACGCACCCACGTTTCCCGCACTTTGTGCCTGAATACACCCCACCAAAGACGGCGCACCCTCACAACGCTCCACAGCCAAGATGGAAGCGGCTCCTTCGCTCTTGGAATTTTTGGGCGGAGCGCTCTCCACCTTCACCATGTCGAGGTTCCCCTGGGGATGTGGGGCAAATTGTCATGCGTGTTGGGCAATAGTTATGAAATGTTATGGAGATCCACTATTATGTTTTCATGATACATGTTTTTTTAAATGTATTATCATTGTTGTTTTGGTGGCGACCCAATTGGATACATTTGCTGGTTCGAGGGTGATCGTACCAGCACACCAAAAGGCGGGGATAAAGCCAGTCAGCTGAGTTGGGTTGATAGTTTTGAAACTGATTTGATGTCCCATCGCAGGATGAGGGTGCCGATTGACTCATACTACTCTTCGTGACATGTGTTCAAACGACCACCCCATTTTGCTACCTCCATCGTCAGTCCTAAAATTAGATCCGATCCTCCACAAGGCCACAAGGAACCAGTTTTCACAATCCAACTCGCAGGGTGAAGGAGATGCAAGGAAAGATAAGGGGAATTTTGCATGTGTAAAGACGTTACTTCCAAGCTAGGATGTATGCTACTTGATCGCAAATTTGTTTCGAAGGGATTCAGGAATGCTGAGGGGCTAGTTTCATCCATCTAATCAAGTCAATGAGCGGTTTGACATTCCTTGTGATTGCACACCGAGAAAATCATCCTAGGAACTCATAAACAACATCATTGATGCATGCATACATTCTTTGAAGCAGGCTAGCCGGCGACCCTACATCAATGTTTTTCCTTGATTTGCTTGCCTTCTCCTTCGAACAAAAAATGGTGTTCTAACATGTTTTGGTGGTTTCCTGCTTCATTTGGCATCGTTTTTTTTTCCATAATCGCTACTTTTTCATTCATCGCTGAACATGTAGTTTCTTTCACCTTCAGCTGCTGCAAACATTTGTTGCGTTGTTTTTCTTACCGTCAGACGGCCTATACTTAAATGAAGGGTTTCTCAAAACTGTCCATGCAGGTGTGTTCTGAAAGCTTTCCAGGTGTGCTATATGATTTTCTTTGCTTAGGTTTCGATTGATTTATCTTGTTTCCCTAGGTTTTCTCGGAATAAAAATTGTATTCCAGAGTACTCTAGATTATTCTTAGGTGTCCCTAGGTTTTCTTTTTTGCGTTTTTTAAACATGTTCCTTGATTTATTTGGTTTTCCGAGATGTGGGGCTGAGTTGCTGCTTGGATATGTTACATGTTCCTTTGCTGTCCCTTGGTTTTCTTTTGCATCCCTTTGATTTCTGAGGAGGAAAACCCGACAAAACATCCAAAGAAAATTGCTATTGCCACTGCATAAGTTGTCAAAAAATTGACGGCCACAAGCCAAGAGAACAACATATGTATATATATAATTTATAATCACTATTTGCTTTTTGAGAGACCATATGAACTCATATGATCCAGAAGCCTCCTTGAATGAATCCTTGATTTTGGGCATCAATCCCAATGGATCTTGTTTGATTTTGCCGTTCGACTGCCAGGGTTTGTCGACGTTGTGCCATGCATTTGGTCATGTCATACAAACTAAGGGATTGGTAAGTCTTAGCTTAACAACAGATGTGCAACGCGGCACTTGGAGCCTCGCTAGATGTGGACATATATAGATGATTATAGATGGTTCTCAACTAAGCGGTAAAAATATTTGTTGATGACGAATTTGGTGGCTACACCACCCCTCATTTGTTTATTTCCACAATCAGTTTGAAGCCTCATTAATGTCAATGATTTGCCACATTGCATCATATTGTACTTCCTGATTGGTTTTAAGTATACAATATATTATAAATATATGATATTTTAGTGATATGCCTGTCATATGAACAAATGTAAGGCCCGATGCTGTGGTAATTGTTCCATTGGTTTCACTTCCTGAAGGTGGCGGCGAAATAGCATTCATCGCGCATGCGTCGAGTTCGAGGTGTCCGGACACTTTGTGTTGGAAAATCATTATGGGTTTGTCTGAAAATAGGGTATATTCCCAATTGTAGCCATTTAATAGGGATAATGATCATTAACCATTGGGTTTAGGGGTACACTATTTTCAGACACACCCATATGTCATCAAGACCAATCAAGTAATTGAGAGAAACGTGTTAATCATATGCTGTAGCAATGCTAAAATACAAATATTAATATATGATCATATATAACACCTGCGGGATAAGAAGAAATGCTGGAATGATTGGGTAGTTCATTATTGACAATAATTGGTGCTAAAGTATGTGAGAATTGTGAGATTTATCCTGTTGCATTTGGATGATTTTGTCAGAGGCATTCAACAAGGTCTGACAGCTCCAGCAAGAAAAGGCACCAGGCATTTCTTCGATATCACCAGCATGCAATTACAATCTGGTTATTTAACATAGCCATGGAAAATCACATTTTTTAATAGGTAAACCCAGGTAAACCATCTATAAATGGGCAATTTTCCATGGCTATGTTAAATAACCATAGGGTATCTGGCTGGTGGTTTCAAACATGTTTTATTTTCCATAATGTATGGGATGTTATCCTTCCCAACTCATGTTTTTCAAGATGGTTAAAACCACCAACCAGCTATATGTCATCCATGTTTATCTGTTTATCCAGGTACCCTCTGGTAAACGTTTACATAACTATGGAAAGATCCACCATGCTATGGGAAAATCAACTATTTCAACTATTTCTATGGCCATGTTCCATAGCTGTTTTGACATAACCAGAGGGTAAGTTCCATTAATCCCATTAAAATCACCATAAAATCACATTAAAATCCCATTAAATCACCATGTTCCATGGCTTTTTGTTCGTTTACCAGGGGGTAAGTTCCGTTGTTCCCGGTGGATGTCACCTTTCAACGTGTCCGACCTGTCACCTGTGACCCGACAGGTCTGGGAGCTTCAGCGGCGGACGACGATGTTCCACGACGACTGGCGTGCGCCCTTTCTGCCGCACGACGGGCAGAAGTTGCTGGGCTGTGCGAATGATGCGTCAGTGGAGATCCGTGGTTGGTCACCATATGGGAATGGATCAATACCTATTAATACCATTTTTAGAGGGATGAACATCCATTTACCAGCTATTTTGATGTTCACCAGGGGGTACAAGGTTTTGACACACTGCCATATATCACCATATATCACCATATAAATGGGGAGATCTCGTATAATTGATTGGGATCTAAATTTGGTTACTGTGATTTTACAAACGGATTTTACCGTTTTACCCCAAAAGAGTGTTCAAAATGGGAGCATATCCGTTCTAGATTGGATCTCAAATGGAGAAATAAGGCTTTGGCGGCAACTACCTCATCTCAGACAAACTTTCACCGAGCTACGAATCAGATTTTATAAGATACCTCCCCAAGGTGGACAAACAGAATTATATACTTCTCCCGTATTTTTGGCAGGATGGACGGAGGAAGTAGAAGTACATTTTGGGGGTTGGTGGCTCTTTGCGGAGGGGTAAGTCTTTAATTGGTCTAATGCTTAGCAGCATGTGTCACCAGCAGCGATTCTTTTTGCTTAAGAGGGAAAGCAGCCAAGAATGTTGAGGGTACGTATCGCACATAGTTACGCGCTGTGCAAAGTTCAGACACATTCAGATGCGATGTGGGGTATTGAAAGCATTCAGTCTCGCAGATTTTGTAGCAGGAGTCCTATGTATAGATATCACGTGGTACTCAGCACCTGTCAATTCTAGGCAATCACGTTGGGTCGACGAGAGGCGGGGTGGGGCTTGTTCGCCATGTCCTGAAACATGTGTTTTTTCCCAGTTGGCATCCGGGGGGGTGTTGCGAAAGTTTGCAGTTCGGGCGCATCTTTTGGGAGTTGATCATTTGATGAAGTGCTTGGATATCCCTATAAGTTGAGGCGACATCATTTCAAGAACATGAAGAGGATCCACTCACAACGACCCAGATTGGGTTCTGCCAGCATGGTGTTCATAATCTGGTTTGACCAATGTTAATCACAGAGTCGCTATACCTGGTAGCATCCGCGTTCGGGTCTGAGAATTAGATGAAAGGAATTGATTTACAATGCCTATATAGGGTTTCCAGATGTTTCCAGTAGATTTTCCCTAAAACCAGCCCATTGTATATTGTCTCATCTCCGTGCATCGTTGGTAAATCCCCCATTATCCCATTGATGGTTGGTTAAACTCTGTTTACTTAAGCCATGGTTTTTCATAGTTGTTCAATCAGTCCAATGATATCAATGGTGTTACTCATATCATTCCATTAAACCATGGTTTTTCAGTTGTTTGTTCATTCAATCCAATGGTGTTCCTCATATCAATTTTTCACCCGGCCAGGTTCCAAAAGCATCCCTCCATCCTGATGGCGATGGAGAAGGCAGCCATGGAGAACTCCCCTCCCATCGAAGCACCTGCCGCGATGGTGCCGCAGGCGCGGCATGGGTCCCTCATGGGGATTTCATAGAGGTAAAACAATGTCATAAACCACCCATGACTGGGAATGGTTTGAATCCCATCCATACAAATGGTGATGACTGGGGGATGGATTTGATGGATTATTATTGTTTTACCAACATTACTGAATTTATATGGGCCCTGGGGAATTCTTTCAGGTTTATGAATGTTTATGACACATTTGTATGGACAAGTTGTGAGTTCACTTTGGGTGATGTTTGGTGACAGTTGTGATTTGGATATGGGTCAAGATCGGGGTACTGCTGCACGGCTCAAATTGGTTGATTCTTAGCTACACATGGCCAAAATATGCCAAAATTGTCCGGTTCCCTGGGCTAAAAACCATTTGTTGGGGCTTGCTTCATGGATCATGTGATGGCATGCGACGTTTGCAGGATCATTGGCAAGTTGCTACGGATGCCACAACGGACAAGGCCTTGACTTGCAGGGCTGCAGGGCCACCATAGAATGTCGGAAACATTCGGAAACCATGAATCGAAAAACCCAATGCCATAAACTTAACCTACCAATTCAGGGATGGTTTATATGTAGCAATCATCAGAATGGTGATGACTTGGGATGGTTTATGATTTGGTGTTACCACATTATTGTTTTTTTCATATTTACAGTGTTTATTTGGCGATGTTTTTTTTTGGTATCATTATATTGTTATTGTCATTGTTACTATTATTATCATTTATTATCATTGTTTTATGTTTTTTTTTTATGTGTTCCAAAACATAGCTGCCTCTGGAAGTTGTTTGCTCTTCACTTATGAAGAGATTCAGACATGGCTAAGCTCCAGTAGCTCCGCCAAAACTCCAGCAGTTTCTTCGTATTTTTTTCCCAATGGGGAATCCACTATGTGGGGAATCTGTAGGGATTTTGTTTTGGTTCCTTGAGCAAATCCATGTATTGAAACATGCAAAACACGTGTACATACCAAGACCTTCCAAGGGGCTACGTTTTGGAACCCCTATCGAGTGTTCTTTAAGGGGCTACGTTTCGACACCCCTTAGCCGTACCAAAAAAACACAACAGGATATGGTGATAACGATGTTCATAGCACCATTTTTGGGAGACATGGTTGGAGACGAGCTGAACAACAAAAGCTTTGATTTTGGGGAATTCCGACACGCAAATGACACGCGACTCCCTGGTAGTGACACACTTCCGACACGCATTAAGGGGCGCCAAAACGACACCCCTTAGCCTAAAGGGGTGGCGTTTTGGCACCCCCTGCGCATCCACCCGACACGCAAATGACACGTTTGACACGCGCCATTTTTGGGGTGCCAAAAATAAAACTCAAAAGAATTGCTTCCGTGGCCTCAGATACCAAAGATGAAATGTATATCCCAGAATATCCCAGATGACCCCAAGCAGGTTGAGAAACACCTTAGAAATAAAGCGGCGCCATTTTGACACCCCCTCCCTAAGGGGTGCCATTGCGGCACCCCTTGGCATGCATATATAATATTGTATATTTGTGTACAACTTGTGTATGACTATCTATATACGTTTGTGTTTACATGTGATCTTCCTGCGTTTGTGCCTGGTTTGCGAATTCTCTTCGCCGGTTCCCGGTTGCGATGACCTCGAGTGCAAACTGGGCCAGGACGGCTGGCAATATGCCACGGATTTTTACAAGAAATCTGCAAGATGGAAAGTGGCTGGGCGAAGTTTGGAACAGGATCTATTTCTTGGGATAGGCTGCGCTGCTTCAAGCATGGAACCTCCCTTCCGTACATGTATGATCATGTATGTATATATATATATATTTATAGTATATACCTGTACTGTTCATGCATAGTGATCCATATATATATATGCATACATATGCATTTGAATATATATATATATATATATACATACATATATTTTTGCATGAATATGTTTCTTTATTTATGCATTTATTTATGTATATTTTATTTGGGTAAATATCTATACAGATATGCATATCACTTTTTCGCTGGGACCGCCGAGGCGAAGGCCACGGTTGGCTTGTGCCGCAAGAGGCTCTGGAGATGTTCTTATGTGCCCTGGTGCAGCACTTTTTGTTTTTTCTACAGCCGGTTTCACTTAAATATCTTAACTGGATGAAGAAAGACACTGGTGTAAGTGGAACGGATATTTTTTCCTACACCCTGGTGATAGGTGAAGATTCCAAGTCTGCGACCCTTATCCAGGTGGAGTGGAATTTCACCAGAATTAAACTGCATGGAAACATATTTGAAATGTTTTGAAATACCCACTTTAAGGGGATAGGCAGTTCACAATTGATGTGATACATTTAATAATTAATCATTACTAGTGTATATATATATATTTATTCATGTGCATATGTATATATGTAATTATATATATATACATATCATATATCATATATATATATCATATATCATATATCGGTTTGTTTATGAATGTATACATATAATTATATATATATATATACATATGTTATATATATATATATACATTAATATATGCGTTTAATATAGATGTTATATATATAGGTATACATAAATATAAATGTATATATATATATATACATGTATATGTGTGTGTATATACGGATATGTGTTTGTCTCAGCTGGGGTTCAGCATGATGCAACCAAAGCCCAAAAAAGTGACACCCTCAACCATAGATGGTCAAGATTCACCGGTATTTGTGGTTAATGGTGGTTGCCCATCTGCAGCTCAGGTGCGGCTGCCCAAATTGGTGACACCTCGAACCATTGTGGTGCAGGTTTGGGAGTTGCAACGCAGGACGTGCAGACTCCATACATTGCGTTTCCTTACACTTCATTACATGACATTACGTGACACGCGCTTAGAATATATATATATATATAAAAACAGACACACCTGCATCACCTACGTGGACAAATAGATACCTAGATACCTAAATACAGAGATAGATAGACAGACAGACAGACAGATAGCTAGCTAGCTAGCTAGGTAGGTAGATAGGTAGGTAGATAGGTAGATAGGTAGGTACTGGTAGATAGGTAGGTAGGTAGATAGGTAGATAGATGCATGCATGCATACATGCACACCTAGATGCCTAGATACATAGATACATGGATACATAGATAGAACAACAAACTCACATACGGACAGACAGACCGATCTATAAATATATACACATAGAATCTGTTGAAATACTGCGCAGGTTTTTGGACCTTTCAAAACACGATCGCACAGATCCACTAGACATGCGATTTATATTTGAACATGCAACATGATTCATGTTTACATAAACATATATATATATATATATACATATATATTTATTTACACATATACATTTGTTATCATATCGTATTTTATTGTTCATATATGTTCAATGACAAGAATATATTTTTATATATATATATGAATGACACTCCGCATCTCCATTGGTTGATCACCCCGCCAGTTGTTCAGCCAGGACCACCATCTTCCAGAGCGACTGGCGGGCACCGTTTTTACCGCACGACGTACGGGGACTCAGCCGCCCAGCGTCTACCTGGTGGTGGGCCACAGAAAACACGGTTCTTGTCTGAACATGGGGTTTGGGGTAAAGAATCCAGCATGGAAGTGCCATTTTTTAAATGGGACATCATATCCACCCATATTTAAGTCTTCAGGCTTGGAATTCCTGCTTGAACCAACATCCCCCCATTTACTGTACTGTACCACTTTTTGTTCAGGAAAAATGGCCATGTCGAGGGTTTTTGCAGATTTGGCGTCATTTTTCAGTGAGGCGATCAAGGAGTCCATTGTCAAAAGGAAGCGACCATTTTTTTTGCCAACGAACCCCACAAAGTGATGCCAACCGTTAAGCAGTCCAATTGTATTTATTGTTGCCACACTGCACATACATATATAAGTATCATACATATATATATAATATATGTACATATATATATATATGTATATATATACAAATATTTATTTAAGTATTATACATATATAAGTATTAAATATATATATATAGTAATAAGTATTATATATATAAGTATTACATATATATATAAGTATTATATATATATTATATATATATGTATATATATATATATATGTATGATACATATGTATGTATACACTACATTTACACATGATTCTACATGTATTACCGTAGTGTATATTCGCCCTAAACCATGGCCTGCTATGAGCCAACCTAGCGAACCCCGGGCATCACTCGGCGGCGGCTCAGTTGATGCGGCACCGCTTTCGCTGGGTGGATATGGATTACAACACCCACCCCTGGTTCAAGGAGGAGGCCTCCGGTTTGGAATGTCTGAGAGGTTGGCAGGGAAGATTCATAAAGGATGTGTGAAATACAGTAATTAGGTCCTGCATGGGTGACCCCCTTAGCTGTAACAAGTGAAATGGGCTCATGGAACAAGTAGCTAGCATGATTTGGCCACCTTGGCTGTGACCCATACTTTTGTTGTTGTTCTTTGCTGGGCATTGACGTGAACATTTCTTGCAAACTAAGTTTGCAAAGCCTAGCCTGGACTGGTGACTAGAAGATATGATTATCATATGCATGTTTCAGGAGCAATCAAACCGAATGGTCACACATGTGGGTCATGTTTGGTCATTGCGAGTCATTTTGGTGCCCAATTTTGACATTTGAACTGGCTAACGGTAGCCGTCCATTTTAGCAGTCGAAGCCTTGGAAATAAAACGATATAAAGGCCATTTACGAGATATGGGTGTGTCCCCTAGATAGCCAGATCATCCGAGTTTTTCCTGTAAGAAACCTTCATAGTGGCGTCTGAAAACATCTTACAATTGTGCTATTGAACAAGTATACTCTAGTACTGCGAATTATTTTGTGATATGTTGTTTATGTTTAATGCTACTATTGGAGTTATTTTTTTTTTGCAGTAGTGTATACATACAGTTACAATCAGTTACATATATATATATATACACACATACATACATACATATTTTTCAGCACGTCCAGGGAACAGCCTTGGCTTCTGCTGAGCAGCCGCCAGTGGCTGCGCCTGTCGGCTGGGAGGTGTGGGCCCCGGATGGCCCCGGCGAGGTGGTGGGGATCATCCGTCTTGCAGACCATAAAATTGGGGATATGTTTGGGTATGGTCTGTTATGGCTTATCCTGCATTTCCCATAACATGATCGGTCAATGATCAAAAAAAACTTAGTTGGAATGTTTGTTATTCCCCACCTGCCAGGTGAGGGTTGTTAGATTTTATGTCAGTTGCCTCCTCCTCCTCCTGCTCCTCCTCCTCCTCCTGCCGCCTCCTCCTCCTCCTCTCGTTGTCCTCCTCGTCCTCCTGCTCAACTGCGACTCGCGATCCACAGTGTTCGCTGTCGGACCTCAACCACGACCATCCACGCCCAGTGTTCCCTGCCGGACCTCAACCACGACCATCCACGCCCAGTGTTCCCTGCCGGACCTCAACCACGACCATCCACGCCCAGTGTTCCCTGCCGGACCTCAACCACGACCATCCACGCCCAGTGTTCCCTGCCGGACCTCAACCACGACCATCCACGCCCAGTGTTCCCTGCCGGACCTCATGTAGGAAGATATGGGACAAAGAATGTGCAGAAGAAAGTTAGAAAGAATGTCAGAAAGAATGTCAGAAGATATGCCAGAAGATATGCCAGATAGAATGCCAGATAATATGCCAGAAGATATGCCAGATAGAATGCCAGAAGATTCGCCAGATAGAATGCCAGAAAATATGCCAGAAGATATGCCAGATAGATATGCCAGAAGATATGCCAGAAGATATGTCAGAATATATGCCAGAAGATATGTCAGATAGAGAAGATATGCCAGATAGAATGCCAGAAGCCAGAAGATATGTCCAGATAGAATGCCAGAAGATATGCCAGATAGAATGCCAGAAGATAGAATGTCAGAAGATATGTCAGATAGAATGCCAGAAGATTTGCCAGTAAGAAAATGTATAAATGTCATGATGGGGATCACACGAAGTAAAGTATTTTTTTTAATCATGGGTATCATTCAATGGCCTATGATGGTCCTCATGTCAAACTGGTTTGTAATGTGTGGGTATCCTGCATAACTGAATGATTTCTGAGCAACGCCATGTTTGCTCTATAGGATGTGTTTAGTATTCTTCTTCGGGGTTGCTGTTGCAAACATCATTTTTGGTGGTTAACCTCAAAAAGGTGCTGTTTGTTGGATCAAAGATTTTTGTTGCTGAGTAGATCTTTGCAAGAAGTCGCAGTGGCCAAAATAATCCCACGAAGAGGCTTTCGGTTTCGATTCGGGGGGGAAGATCTCATTTGATAGAACTCTGATGTACCCTCTGGTGAACTAACATAGCAATGGAAAATGGCCATTTATAGTGGATTTTCCCATTAAAAATTGTGATTTTCCATTGCTATGTTAAATTACCAGAGGGTACCCGTCTTGGAACTTTTAGACCACCAGGTTGGAAACTTCTGCACGGACTTATATTTCTAACCAATCACAGCAATTCACAGCACCTTGGAGTAGAAGCTATCTCAAGCCCAACTTTAATGCAGGATGGACAAGATGTCCAACCGAAAATATTTCACTTTGACGCAGCTGATTAGCAAGATGATGGGTCCCAGTTCGATGCCCAACATTGATTCATTGAAATAATTAATTGCTGAGAAAGTTCGAAGTATCAGGGGCCTTGGAGGTGCATCAACTGTCTTCAATATGCAGTCATTGGCGGTTGGATTTTTATGTGCTGGTGCGTATACATCATGTTCACTTTCTGTACCAAATTTCATGCATTGCGTGAAACATAGAATGTTGCGTCAGAATGTGAAGTATACTACTGATTCTTTATGATAATTCATATGCACTTCCTTTTCTTCCCAGTTCTTTTTTGGTCATTCCCTCCCAAATGACTGCTCCAGAACAAAAGCTGACAAACCCAATCCCCTGATCCGTAAATCAAAACGACCGCGTGTCGCGGCGTCACGACGTAAATGATGGTGAATCTACGTGTGACTATCCGAATGCCATCGAATCCGAATATGTGGCCGAACCTTTCAGGTTGATACATGTTCCAATATGAAATGTACCATTATTAAATCCATATTTGTTCATGGTATTTGTTGCTTTGCTAACATCAAATGTGAATATAATTACCTCATCATATCCCATGAATATTGCATCAAAGTCCATTAAATCCCTATTCATGGCAAAAAAATCCTCTTGATGTTCCATTCAATCACTTTACAAGGATCCTTCACTCCCATTCCATTTCCATTCAATTCCCTATCCCCTTGAATTTCCATGAAGTTTTGTGTTCAATCCCGTTTTTCATCACCATCAAATCCCATTCGATTCCAGTATTTTTTCCATGAAATATCACCGATTTTCAGCATAAAACCCCATGAGTTCCCATGAAATCACCAGCCATGTTGGTGAAATAGCCATGGCTCCAGGCTGAAGGCTGGGTAGTGGCACACCCAGGAGGCCCTTGTGATTCCCGCCGATGGTCCCTTGGGCAGAACGGAGGGCCGGAGGGGCACCACGGCACGTGCCTACTTCGGATAGCTGGGAACCAACGAAACACTGGGCACGTGCAGAACGATAACAATTGCATGACAAAAATACCAGTGTATTCAACAAATGCAACAAATAAATACAAATAATCAATAACAATAAGGGACAAACAATGATAAACATAATGATATTGATAAATGCAAGAATGAGTCACAACCCTGCATACCCTCCGGTGGTATCAAACATGACTAGCCAGGAAATTCCCGCACTAAATGGGAATTGTCCATTGGCATCTTTGATTTCCAGAGGGTAACCCAGGAATAATAAACCCCTAGGCTGTTTGTTGGGGTACCAATTTCCATGTATATTACCAAGTTCCATGTATTACTTTGTAATCCTGCCTGTATGCATCTGTATTTATATATATACACACATATATATATACATTCATTGCAGGGAACATTTGCAGAAACCATGGTTTAGCCCCGAATGTTCAGGGTTCCTGTAAATTTCCCTTTAACGAATGCTGGGAAGATAAGTCCAGGTGTGTTTATCCCTATTTTAAGGTAACCACCCAAAATTGTTTACCACTGTCACCAGTGTTGGTGGCCAAGTGGCCAAGTCGATGGAGGATTTTTTCAATGTTTTTCCTGGTTCCTAACTATGATGTTAATTTGGATGATTTTGAGGGGTGGAAAGGGTATGACCCTTTTTGTCATAAACCCCAGGAAATATCGACGTGCTTTGCAAGCGCAATGCTAGTAAGTGAAATCCATGAAATATCGAAGTGATGTGTGGAGCTATACCTCAGACACCCGCAGTCTATAAGCATCATTCGTCCATTTAGATCCTACGTTATTGATGATTTACGATTTTGCCGTTCAGAACATGAGAATCTCCCGTGTTTCTTTCTTGAATTTCAGAATGTGTACGGTTTATCTTTCACCTCCCAACCTTTGTTAAGTTCCATTTGTTTCATTTAGATTCATCTATAGTTGTTTCTCAATTTTAAGTGTGACATCTTTATTTTGGACCACTTTAAAAACATCAGAAACGCCAAAACCGAGGCAATACAGTTCGGATCTCAACCGCTCCAACAACCGCTGGGGTTCTCAATCCACCGGTCTGGGCTGTCGACGACGCCTGTGGAGTTGTGTCTTCACAGAAGGCTGTCGCGTGCTTTTGTGACCTCTGAGGGCGCTGTTGTGACTTGGCATGTGCCAATGCTGCGTATTAAAAGAGAACAAGTGCGAAAATAGTTGGTTGAGAATGAGGACTTTGTGATTATTCGTTGAACTTTGCCTTTTATTTTGGATTTTTGAGGCTTGTGAACCTCCAAATGATCAAATCAAAGTTTGGGCATGATAGCGTGTTTTATCCATGTGTTTGAAGCTGAGTTTGCCACATTATGCTTGGAAATCTATGCAGCTGAAATGATGGTATGACGTCTGTCATGGTAAATGGATGTAAATGGTGGTTAAGTTGCGAACTACCCGCTAATTACTAATTTAACATTATGCTATGGCTATGGTATAGATGGACCATTTAGTTAGATAATAAATCCATATCAAAAATGGTAATGTTCCACATTCACAGATGATTTACCGCCTATTGAACAAGACGATTTTCCATAGTAAACAAGGCTATGTGCGATCTTTGCGTTTGTTTTGGGTTTCGTTTTTTCCTGAGACTTTTCTAGATATCGAAATCAGATGGAGATGTATGGAGCCACCCTGTGTGATTGTGATAGATACATGGATAGGCAAACACATAGGCAGATAGGTGGATAGTTAGATAGATAGAGATAGATAGAGATAGATAGATATAAATAGAGATAGAGAGAAAGAGAGATAGAAAGAAATAGAGAGAGAGAGACAGACAGAGAGATGGATGGATGGATGGGCGCATGGACGCATGGATGCATGGATGGATAGATAGATAAGTTAAGTAGGTATAAGTAGGTAGATAGATCAAGAGGTAGATGATAAATGATAAAGATAGATAAAGATAGATAATATATGACATATATATATATAGTTAAATATAGGACAACATACGTGTATATATATATATATATATATGTACATGGGTAAAGTTAGATAGACAAAACTAGATAAAGATAGAAGAACATAGATAGATACAACAAACACACATATTTGTATGTATTATGTTGGCATGCATAATGTGCACACATGTTTTTGTTGAACATACTTCAGACATACATCCATGACACAGATGGATTCGCATTTTTGAACCAGCACTGCTGACAACTTGCCAGGCCATTGTCTCAGCATGTCCCTCCAGTCATTTATTTGTAAACGTGCTTTTCGGATGGACGTCGCGAAGTTGTGGATGGTCCAGGATGTTTTTCGTTCGCCACAAGTGCTCCTGTTTGTTGATGCTTAGCAAACGGGCGTTTTGTTCGGCGTCGGGTTGAAACCATCCTCAACATGACGATGCTGGATTATAGACTGAGACTGATGAAAGAAATCCCAGTTTCTCTCCCGCTTGGCCAGAGAACGTCAGAACTTGATGTTCTTGCAGATTTGGAAGTATCAACGGTGGAAAGCAAAACTCAATGAAAGGTACTTTTGATCCTGGACTCCCCATTGAGAAACTCATGATGCTTTCGATGCTTTCCCTACTTCAAAGCATGTATTAATTACGCATGGAATGTAAACTCAACCAGGATGAAGAATTCTTTGCTACATAGTTTGCCACTTAGAATGATTTTTGTGGATTTACATTGCCTTAAGAAAAGGCTAGCATGTGCCGTTTGAAACCACAAGATGACTGATTCTTCAAAGCAATGGATCAGGCTTAACAATTGCTGGAAAGCACAGATTTCATTTCAGCTTAGACATGCTTAGACCATGATCGTTTCAGAGGGGTTGGGAGATTGGTACTGTGGTTCGATACTTCCAAGGTCGTTCATTCAGGTTTCGAGTTGAAATGTCCCGGAACTGCGCAGATTTCCATCCGTTGTAGTGGACATGGCTCAAACATTTGTAGCATATATGCAGTTTTTCATATCAGTACATATTCAAATACTATATAATACTCTATATATATATACATGCTAATATACTCATAAAATGATCAATTGGTCGGTGTCCAACTTTCGACTCACCATTTCAAGGCATTGATCAAGTAGGGTGATGTGTACCAGTTGTACCAGGCATCGAAGCTAGAAGGAAAAACTGATGAAACATCCGCCATGTTTATCCATTGTTTTATGATGTGTTAATGATTTGTTCAAGTGTTTTCTGTGTGAAATGTATTTTCTTTTGGTATTTGCCAGAGGAAAGCCATTCCCGGTGGTTCCAGAGATTCTGACGTGGTCCTAGTGGCTTCGGGGATGGCGTTACATGGCACAGCCCAGCCTGGATGGTATGGGATCATACGGCATTTATCATTCAACCACCATTGAATCTCATAAAGTATATTTAATACTATTTTATTATCCCATTCAATCACCATTTTTCCATCGAATCACCATTGAATCACCATTGCATCTCTTGAAACAAACCTTTCGCCTTAGCTGCGCAGACCTTCCCGGGCGCAGTGCTCGTGGCAATTCACGCGCCCAGCGCGGCGTTTTCGTTTTCCGATCGCTCGGCTGGGCCTCCGAGCCTCGCGACCCTAGAAGTTCACGAGTTGCAATGGTGCTGAGGTCCGTTCATTTCAGGCATTGAGTTTCACTGGTCGCAGTGAGCTGGCCGCCAATTCCTCACACAGGACGTGGCGCAGATCAGCTGCTACCCCCTGTCGCTCGATTATTCGCCAGATGCGTTCAGAACATGTCGAGCTCCATCTCTGAACCGTGCATTTGGCATCGAACTCAGACAATTCGGCAAGGGGCAGTGCTAGCAGCATATTTGATACGACAAGTTGGAGTTGGAATGAGTTGGAGGGCTCCAAACGCGATAGGGCCCCCAAAAAAAGGATATCGACACAATTGTGGATAATGTCCACGTCTGAAGTTGCTGAAGTTGTCTTACACAATGTTGCAGGTCATGCAAGAGGCGAAATTAGCAATACCCCTAGCAATACCTCAGCGATACCCATGTGTTCAAAAAGTAAGCCCAGACCACAGATAGACCCTTTCCTGTTTTTTTTCCTCTTCCTGTCTCCTGTCTTTTTCCCGAATAAGGGGCGCTGCTTCCTCTTCAAGTCTTATTTTCTTTTTCCTTTGTTTTTTTTCCTCTTTTTGTTCATCTTTCTTTCATTTTTCTTTCCGCTTGTTTTCCCATTTCTTTAGTCTTTCTTTCCCCTTTGTTTCCTTATTTCTTTCCTTTCCTCTTCGTTTCCTTACATAAGTTTGATCCTCCACCTTCATAGGTACAAAAGTACGAAACCTTGGTTGGCGATAGGGACCCAAGGCGAAGACATAGAAATTTTCATTTGTCTCCGAATTTGTCTCCTGTACACTCTCAAGCAAACATGACATCTGGAAATCCACCTATTTCATAGATTCATAGATCACCTATGGGAGTTTAATTGTCAGCTGGAGGCGTCTAAAATTTTGTTGACATCACAGGACACACATACCAGGTTCAGGGCTTCAGGTCCGTTTGGCTGCCGGGGCCTAACTTTGCTTCCACTTCGAAGATCTACAGTACAATCATAGGATGGTTTTACCAGAAAAAATGCAGGGAACTTGCAGTATATAACACATATACTAATATATAATACAAACACATACACACACATAATTATATATATACACACCATATCACTGGTGGTGAAGATAATACTTTCCTGAAGATGTTCCCTTATATATATATATGTGTGTGTGTGTACATTTGGTCAACTTTGGGTGCGCAAAAATTGGATGGTCTCCTGCTGAACATGCCAATATGGGTGGGAAAACCAGGTGCAGGGCTATGATTTTGATCGGGTACCGTACTCATAATATGGAATCCGGCGTGATTGTGGGTCCCAAGAAAGTTTTTTGAGTGCTGATTGGTGATGATGGTAATGGGTCAAAATTGTTTCTCTTGCCTGGGTGACCCTTGCTTGGGTTATAAGGTTTTATCATGATTGGTTGCAGACGGGAGCACACCATACCCAGTGAAAGTAGATCGGATTGTTCTGCTCCTGCCTGGGTCTCTAGGATGATCTATGCTGCTGGCAGTGTAGCTCTTGCAATTTACCAAAAAAACATGCCTGCTGTCGCAGCGAAATACCGCTAGAAGACTGGTCCACGGGGTGCTGCCTTACTTTCGATGGTTGCTCGGATTATTTGGCAATTGACTTTGGAGGGCAAACTTTGCAGGTATTGGTACAGCTAGAACATGCTTTGAACATGCTTGAATTTTTTATGCTTTCTACATGTTTGAATACTCACATGTTTTTGCTTGTAATATGAATATGCTGATATTGTCTTGTGTTTATACGGGCCCAGCATGGGTCCCTATGGATGTGTATTTTTTTACCATAACATATCGCCCATCACGGCACCCTGCGGGCACTTACGCTCTACCCGTGCTGCGCTTAAGGCGTTTTCGGGAGGCGCAAGCGCGTAAAGCTGCGTTAGCGCGTGACAGACAGGGAGAAAGCGAGTTGACACCAAAAATGCAGCCGGGCAAGGCATGCCTAGTTCTCGCCTTCCTCTCTTTTGAACTTCTGGAGGTGGCATCGAGCAGGTTTGCAAGACGACCCCTTTCGTATCTAATTTCAAAAAACATCTAAGAACCTCCACTCATATGTTTCCCATTATAGTCTTCAGTTCTTTGGATCGGAAACATCAGCCACACTGGAATGGGACCTCTAGTGAGGGCGACTTCCTTGTAAGATTGTAAGATATTCTAACACACTTTGAAGCGCAGCTGGCTGATTTATACCATTTGAAACGCAGATGAAGTTTGCCAGCTGCGTTTGCCAATGTTTGACTACCCTACTGGGTGATTTCATGATACGCTTCCAATTTTGGATCACATTTGGGATGATCCAATGATCCAATGATCCACCATGATCCTCCCTGATTTCCATATGCTGTGGGGGTTTCGAACCAGCACCCAGAACCGGCTCCCTGGCGCACCCGTCCTTGCGCCATGACGCTGTGGGAGTGCGACGTTTATTGCAAGGCCCAGCTAATTCGGATGGTCCCAGCTGAAGCTCCAGGAACCCATCGAACACCTGCAGGTGATACATGGTGAAACCATGCTTTACGTCAGGATTTACGATGATTATATATGATTATGATTCATGATGTTTTATATACATCTGGATGAATTACAATGAGATCACTAGAGTGATGCTGAGTAAGGGAAATTATCCCCAAATGTCCTGATTTCAGCTATTTTCAGATGAGTTAATGATTAAATTTTAGCCAGATACTTGGCAAATCTGCAGGGAAACCGCTGCGCAGGTGGAAATCCTCAATGCTTTGACCATGCTGCCGCCGCTCTTCAGTGCAGCGCTGGCTTGCTACATGGTGAAACCGAAGGTGCCTTTTCAAAAAAAGAATGATACCCCTCGGGATCATGTGCTTGGGCGGGGAGGGCAGTGGGTAGATAGTAGACAGAGAGCTAGATAGCTAGGCTTCTACAAATATGTCCCAAAATCATCCAAAATCCATCAAAACCCCCATACTTCAGAATTTGTGTATCTTTGAGATCGCTTTCCTGATGAAGATTGTCATCTTGGGGAATACAAATTATTTTGGGACAAATCCAGATGTGGCTGGCTGGAAGGTCTCTAAGTCTTGTTGTTTTTAGATGTTTTTAGGAGAAACCTCGCTACAAACCAAACTCATCATAACTCATCGGATTTTCCATTGCTAGTTTGAACTTCAGTCATTGAAGTGCTGGTGCTGAAGCGTATATAGACATATATAGACGGACGCTTGAAGCTAGGTCTGTGGAAGTATTTACTGAGGGAGATTGTGTGGGTTTGATTTGAGGAGTTCAATTTGGAAGCCCCGTACAAGAGGCCTAGGAGATGATTCACCCAGTACAGATGGCCATGGGATGCCATGGGTTCTAAAATTGGGTGATGAGATCTATGAATATCGGTCCTCAAGTGGGTGAATCCCTTGAACATGACATCGGGGGGAGGTCTAATATATGGATTTAATATTGCAGGAGCTGCTGCCTCGCCATTACAAGCTTGACTGGATTCTCACCACCAGAGATGATGAAAAAGAGAAAAATATGCATTTCCTCCAGCTGATTGTCAAACCGACCTCAGAACAACTTTTTGCGCGACCTCACCATGCAGGGTGATTATTTTCCTGGGATTTTCCAGGCGAAATCCCGATTTGTTTGCCGCAAATGCAGGTCTGGTGGCGTTCCAGCGCCGCCTTCTTCCTTATTTGTGGTTGGATGGTCATGATTCCCTTCAGCACCGCCAGCCATTTGTACTGTGCCTTCAATGGAAAGTACTCGCATATTTTGATGCGATTGGACCAAACAGGCCGGGGATGATTTGGGGGATTTTGGATCCACTATAATTCACTTTTATACCTCTGATCGTAATATATCGTAATATAATTTAATAATTATGGACAATTGCCCATATTTTATAGATGACTCACCTATTGTATATGTTTATATAAATATATTTAATATGTTTACGTGACCCACCAGAGGGTACAGTAGTATCAGTAGTTGTGTAGTCCATCCCATTCTTGATGATAGCCCGGCCCAACTTGACCATTTTTTGTCGAACTCGTTGAAACCTCCTCCAACAAGCGGGGCTTCGAGAAACCGGAACCAGATATACAAAGGAACCCTGACCACATGTTGTTGGAGAACTGGAGCGGTGAATCTAAAAAGCGTGTCCTCAGAACATTGCAAAGTGGAGGTGGCAAGTGGATCCCCACCCTATAAAGCATTGTTTCTTTGGTCGCTTGGGAAGCCACGGGGCGGGTGAAGATTTTGAAATGGCACACGTCGCCATACCGAGGGGATCATCAGGCGTGGCCTGGAAGGCCAGGCCATGGTGAAATGGACCATAAACCATTATATGTATATGCATTTATACACCATTATATATGATATCATATATATATATATATATATTTAATTATATATAACTATGTATACAGGGTATATAGTTTTTGTAAAGAGAGACATGTATCAGCTTGTTTATTATAAACATATTACAAATAAAAAATATAGACATATATGTCATATTATATATATATATCCATACATGTATGTGTCCCCTTGGAATCCCATTTGTCAACTTCAGCGTTTCAGGCTGAATATATTGGAGATCGGCTCACTAGCTCATACATTTCATCAAAATGACAGTAACATACATTGTAACCTAGTAACCCCAAACAAAACAGTAAAATGGTAATTACTGTGGCAGACCCAATAATAAGCCTACCATTTGGGGATGGGTTTAACATGATGTGTTTTTTTTTGGGGGGGGGTTACCACGTATTAAGATGTTCCATTTTCTTGGGAGCGACGATAAGCTACCACTCAGCTACCCTTCGATTCCATGCGGTGCCCCGGATGGCCAGGCATTGCTATTGCTTCAGTCATGGTGGGTTGGGCCTTGTCGAAATGCCCCAACTTCACGTCCTTCTTGTCCGTGGCGGCCTGGACGTGTGCAGCCAGGGGTTGGTTTTTCCAGTGGCAACCAGGGTGAGTTTTCAGAACCACATGGAACCAAAACGTTGTCATTGATCATTTGCTGAAGAACATGATGTTCACCCAATTTCATGTAGGCTCTACGGGACCCATGCGCTCAGCTAGGAACATGTGGGGTAGAATCCTGAATTGCCCAGTCTTCAACATGAACTTGTACTTGTTTGGATATCAGGGGAAGTTGGGGGCCACCGCGAGATGCTACTGTATCATGACTGTCTATCAAGATGGGTATGGTGAGATGAACCACCAACAAACATGATGTAAAACAGGTGAACATCAGGTTGACACATGACATGTCCAAAGCATTCAAAAACCATGCTTGTTTGTGTTTTTTTTGGCATGTTTTCCCAGATGTCATTCCCCTGAGGCTGGCGTATGCACCATGGCTGCAGGATGCTGCAGGGCTGTTGTACAAAATTATTTCGAGCACGAGAAATGCGGAGAGTGTTGGAGCAGAAGTGGCTGATGAGTGGCTGACTGGAACATCTCAATGTTGTAGTGAGAATACATATAGGAACTCCGCAAATCGCCGGCAACCCCTGGCTGTAAAAATCGACATCCTAATCCTAGAAGTTCGAGGACATTGATGAACAATGTCTGAGTTATTGCAGGTCAAGTGCGGTCAGTGCCAGCTGTGATCATTCTGGGGTTGATGCATTTTGAGTAGTTTCGGTTTTGGTCTATCTTCCAGGGTTGTGATCTGTTAACTCATCCACTTCAGGATCAACAGCTAAACGATCCTGGTTGATAGCAAGACTTGGTGCCACGTTGGGAACTACAATATTTAATTATTTGGGATTAATCGTGACGCATCTGTGAAAACAACCTGCAATAGGTTTTGAAAATTGCATTATTTCTTGATATTCTTGCTAGTTTACGCTAGTTTTCGTTGGTCCCTTTGGGAGGCCCCATTCCATTTTTTCGATGGACTGGCACAGGGGTTGCAACTTAACCAGACTTCATTCATGTTTGATCATGTTTGAAAGGGGCATTCGACTGGGGAATATTGATACGGATGTTCCTTAAAAGGATTGACCCCCATAAAAATAGATGCTTCAGTGGGCACATTTCAGCACTGAGAGTTGCCAAAATCTTTTTGGCCCATTTGTATCCATTCGTGCCATTTCGGTCCCCATTCTGGCATTCTTGTTGGCCCTGCAGCCGCACCGCGAGGCATTTGCGGTTTGATGTGGTTTGGGCCAGAGTATCTGAGAATCCACGTGGAGTGGCGCACCGTAAGCCTAGCAGGCCCCTTCCGCATCGAATCATGTGCTCATGACATGGTCTGAACATGGCAATCTGACTGCCACTTCACTGTATAAGTAAGCCCATGTAAGTCCAAAGATCCGCGAGATCACGTCTCACTATGCAGGGGGCTTGATTCTGTCATTTATATACATACATACATTACATTACGTTACGTTACGTTACGTTACATTACATTACATTACATACATACATACCTACCTACCTTCCTACCTTCCTACCTACCTACCTACCTACATACATACATACATACATACACGCACATATATATATTATATATATATATATTTACATAGTTGATCATAGTTGATTTGTGTCCCAACTTGTGCTTCACTGTTCTGCCATAGGCTTGGCTGCTAGATGTCCTTGTTTGGCTGGTAGCTGGTATTGTCCATGGATGTCCATGCCACATCATGGCACGCGGATCCACATGTCGGATTTTTCCGGCGGAAGGCATGGTACTCGCATACTTGAGCCCAATGTTTTGGATGAGAGACACCTTTGATTGGAGTTTCTGGGACTTTGATGACTTTGCTTTGCTGGGCGGGTCGCTGGGGGATTGCTTGGGCACTTGAAACATCTTGAAACTTATGTTGCAGATCAAAAACCACAAGTACCTCCTTGTATTTTGACATGTGCTGGGTAGTTGGGACGAGCGATGCAAAGATCTCGTCAAACACCGGTGTGCTATGCGCAGAAGCTTCCACAAAGCTATATAATGTAAAAGTTATTGGTGAACATTGTTTCTTCAAGATGGGTAGCCAAAACATGCCAAAACTGCGCTGTAGCTAAAAGCACTCGACCGTAGTTCCTCGGTATTGCTACCGTTTCTTTGCGAGGACCCATTTTTCTGCCGCTTTTCCCGGGGACTAATATATACATATATATATATAGTACAACATAGTACAACATATTATACACAACTTTAGGATTTAACAAGGTATTAAAAAATCGCCATTTTTTTTGCTGTAGTTCCCCATCGCTCCGAGGCATTCCGCCTTTGCTGATGTGCTTCGCAACAGGCTTTATCTTAGCGGTATTTGCTCCGCTGGGTGCCTATAGTCATCCACTTTTTCACGTGACTGGGACTTTTCATGGGATGCAATGGGATTTTAATGATCATAAAGCGGATCGAATGGGATTTGACTAACCATAATGAGGATTTCATGGGATTCCACTCACCATAATGGGCCGGGGATTTAATGGGACTTCATGAATCATAGAACCAACATCCTGGATTTGCTCTGGTGATTTGTGAACATGTTCCCTTTCATCCACAATGGATCAACATGGGGGATTGATATGGATTGATGGGGATGAATGGGGAAGTGTAGGTCTATGAGTCTATGATCTCTGGGCATAGTTGCCATTGTTGCTGCTTCCAAGGTGATTCTCATCCCGTATACCTTCTATGTGCGTCTCGGCCTGCGCCGTGATGTTTTTTCCTCCCAGGTTGATCCGAGCGGTCAGAGGGGAACTTCGTTTCAGCGCTCTCGAAACGTGATGACCGTTAATGGGGCGTTGAATTGGAACATGGTTGGCAGCTTGAAGTATATGACGTTGGGTTCAGAAATCTTCAGAATGCATTTGTTTTTGCCTTTTTGGAGTTTTGGAAGTGCAATGGCCGAGTTTATGAATGGTTTTTGCAGTGTGCAACCAGACTGCCAGAGACGCCATGCGCCAAGAGATCATAGATTTATTTGGGAATGGTGGGTTTCAATTCTTGGTCTACTGCCCTTCAGGTATAGCTAGTAGTATAATCATGTAATCCAGAATTGACTCAAAGTATTCATGGCGTTGACTCAATCTACCGATCCTTAATTTACTTACAAGCGCTAGGGTTAAGTCGTATCAGCTCGTCAAAAGTCGTATGGGCGTGTGTGCCTGGAAAAAGTTCAATTTCGGCATCACCACAACTTTCATTGTTTTGGAGCCGTGCGCCTGGAAAAAGTTGAATTGTTGCACGCAACAACTTTCGGTACTTGTCAGTATTTGATCATGCTTTCACATGCTTTCAAGGGGCATACGCTGCCAAGACCAAGATATTGTTGCTATTAGGGTTTCTTTTCAGATGGATGGGTTTGTTGTAGCTAAATATTTTCCCAGTCGACCATAGTCAAGAACCACAACATTCCACGTCACTTTTTCCATCATACCAGTCCCCCCAAAAAAAGATCGACAAGTGACAAGTCATTCCTAGTTGGGTGGTGGTATGTGAGCTATGCATAGGTATGCGGTTTTAGTTCGGGGAGATGGATCTCGGATCTCTCTCCCATCCTAATCCTCCAATCCTAGGTCCAAATCCGCTATGAACTACGAGCAGTCACAGGAATCACGACTTCTGGGCATGGACCCCGAGATGTCACTGGAGGCTGGGGATGGCTGGGGGTTGGTTGCTCTCAACGGATGTCATCCGATGACAAAGGGGAGACACCTCAAGACCTCCCATGGCTTCCCAACTACGTATTTTTTCTTAAAGAATGTGGTGGATCATTCTGCTGGTGGTGTTCATCTCATGCTGGTGGACCCCGTGCCGTGCAGGAGGGTAGCTGTGACGAAGCCAGTAGTGTGGCGGCCTCGCGCTGGGCGCCTGATTTGGGCATGGAGGAGATCAGACTACAGGTGGCTTTGCTTATTTTGGAGGAATCTCCCGCAGATACGGTATGTTTTTTTCTCTCCTTCCTGACGATTCAAAAATTATACCATTTGGTAGTTTCACACATTTACAGACTTATACCGATCATTGTAGGATGATTTATAGATGTATAGATGTAGATGTAGATGATAATATTTACATTTTGACATGGTTATTTTTTCATAGCTTGAGAATGGTGGTTTTGCTGATGCTTAATGGAAGATCGGGAGTGTCTGGAAAATTCTTGCCGATGGCGAGCAGCAAATGCGGGGATTTCACCATGTCCATTGTCCATGTTGCAACCGGAGGATTCACTTGATTTTTACCGGGAAAAAGAGGGATTCATTCAGTCCAGAATGGCATTCTTGACATCATTTCGTATGAACCTGCCAAGTTGAAGATGTTGAGGGACAACAGTTTTCCGGAAGTGAGCAAATTTCCCAACTGCTGTACAGGGCGTTTCCCTTTAATGGACCCGGCAGTGACAACAATGATGGGAGTTTGTCATGAGGTATACCTGTTGTATCCTGTTGTTTTTGAAGCGGTGTTATGAGTAAGAAAGAGTAGGGCGAGGGAAGCTTCAAAATCTATTGGCATCTATTGACTATTTTTTGTTGGGCGGGGATGCTGCAGCATGAAGTACAATGATAGAACCATTACATCCTATCCATAGCTACTAGCGGGGCCCCTACCAGTTCCAACTGGGGTCTGTCTGAAAATGGGGTGGTTTGCCAAAGTTCCCAATCAAAATGGCCACAAGTCAAGGGCAAATTCCTTTGATTGCCAGTGAAATGTTTGAAATAGGGCATCCTACTAAGTCCATCTACATCCATTGGTTAACCACCACTCTTCCTATCAAAACATATTAATTTTCATGGTGTAATGAGTATAATGTTAGTTAGTGCCACAATAATAAACCACCCATATGTTCATATGTTCATGGTGTATACCACCCATGTATGGTAAATGTAGGGATGGTTTAGTATTGCTTTACTAACATTACCCCATTTTCAGAGACGGCCATTTGTGTTGCTACTGAGCCGTTGGTGAGGTGAGCGACTGCTGGAACACTGGTGATGCTAAGGCGCGGGCAGCCAATGGAACCCCAAAGAGATGTGAATGATGTGTAGCGTCATAATCACGAGATCCTACAAAAACAAAAATTATGGCGACGACAATGCTGATGATGATGAGGAAGAGGATGATGAAGATGATGATGAAGCTGATGAAAAAAAGATGATGAAGAAAAGGAGATGGAGATGGAGATGAAGACGAAGAAAATGATGAGGATAAGGATGAGGATGATGAGGATGTTGTTGATGATGATGATGGTGATGGTGATGGTGATGAGTGATGATGGTGATGGTGATGGTGATGAGTGATGAGTGATTAGTGATGATGGTGATGGTGGTGAGAATGGTGAGAATGGTAAGAATGGTGAGAATGGTGATAATCGCGATAATGGTGACAATGGTGATATGCTTGATACCATTTGGTTTTACAATGTTTTACAAATCCTTCCGTGTTAATGTTGGTGATTGGGAGTTCATCCTCCAGACATGTCACCAATTCGATGGTCACCTTCCACTGTCTACCTTTTTGGGTCAACCTTAAGGTGTCATTTTGTCCCCCCCAAGTCACAGCCTCGGCTCCAGGCACATGAATACTTGGTGAAGGATCCTGAACTTGGTGAACATCCCCAGAAATTTGATAGCTGATCGCTGAACAGCCAGGGAGTCTTGGCATCTTGGAATATGAATCACCCGGCGAGATGAGTGAAGAATCAGGGAATCCTTCGAGGAGAGAGGACCATGGTTCCTTTTGGATCTTTTTGCTGTGCAAAGGATTTGGATACGACATCAAGGGAGCAACTAATTTATAGCTACCCTCTGGTAATTTAACGTAGCTATGGAAAGATCCACCATTTTCAATGGGAAAGTCCACTATTTCAATGGCCATTTTCAATAGCTAGTTTGACATAACCAGAGGGTAATTTATAGCTAACTCTGTTTCTCAAGGGTGCTCAGCTCATACTGGACTCCGAAATTCGGCTCGTGACGTGTGGAGGGTCACAGAAAACGTGTTCTGTGTACATGTTCTGTTCATGAGAGAGGGCCATGGCTTAGATATTGCGTGCATATATGTGTCCAGATGTTTTTTGTTGTGTATATACTTAGTGACTTAGTGTCTCAAAAGATGTGTAAATCTATGCTTGCACTTCGTATGGAATATCCTCCATTGTTCATACATCAGCTACTCTCTGCCTCTCTCTCTCTCTCTCTCTAGCCCTCTCTATCTACTATCTATAGTTTTATGATATAGCTTATCTATATCCAGGTCCATATCTATAGCTATATTTGTATCCATATTATGAATATCTCTATCCATCTCTATCCATATCCATAACTATCTCTCCCTAATAAAAAATATGTTGTATCTATCGTTTTTTTGATCCAATCTGATCTGATCTCTTCCAATGGAAACAAACTGGATCCAATCCAAACTAATATAGCATAATATAAGTATAACCTTATCTTTTCTTAGATATTCTGAACCCAGCAATCCATCTCTTCATCTATCTATTAATCACTGAAACATGGTCCCGCAGTCCCCATCTACTGGCCCATGGTAGTAGCAATTGCCGAAGCAATCGGTGTTCGGTTTGGCATATCGACACTCTGCGACTCTCTACGACTGACAATGCATTGGATCGAAAAAGCCATAGCTCTGCGGACAGTCCGACCACAAAGAGGTCGACCTCACATGGATCTCCAGATTCTCCAGGGTCCACCACCCTTTTTTGCCATGGAAACAGAGTATCCTGGGGTAAACTGACATGAACGTTGAAAATCCATAGGGATACCCTAGGAAAATGATCTAAACACATACACACACATATGTATATATATATATATATAAAAAAAAACACATACTTGTTTCCGCGTAATTTGATGAACATGCACAGAATTGTTCACCTACTGGCATGATCGTTGAAAGAAGTGGCTGACTAATGATGACTAGATAACCTGGCGAAACTGGATGGATGGATGGATGGATGGATGGATGGATGGATGGATGGATGGATGGATTGTAGCATATTGCAGCCACAAAATCACGGTTTCAGCGGTTTCTGTATCTTTTTTTTGGGGGGTGATTGGCTAACCGCATATTCCACTTTTTTGTATTTTGACGAAGGCATCAACAAACCACCAATAAACACATGTTAAGGGACCAAACCATTGGGTTGAAATTTGAATCATTAGTTAACTTGCTTTTCTGTGAAGGACTTGAGGGCAAGGCCACCCAACAATAAATGTCGTGACATCTCTCATTGGGGTATCAATCTGTACGGGGTGATAACCGCCGTGAATAGGCACCCATGCCATTTGCCCTCCGGTAATCAAACGTGGCAAGGAAAAATATGGAGGTTTCAATTGTAAGATCATCATAGGTCATCTATAAATGCACGACTATCGGTTGCTATGTTTGATGACAAGAGGGTATGAATGGAGTATATTGTACCCATAAAATGGACCGATCAAGCGCTTGGATGCTAGACTTTGTCTTCCAGCCTATGAATAAACTCCAAAGTTCGCAAGAGGCTGTGGCAGCTAATGGTAGCTGAATGCCCGCGCAATACCGTGAGATACCAGGCGCAGATGCATCAGTGATGTCCAGCACTGTCTCTTTTTTGATGATTTTAAGGACGACCCTGAGGAAGTGGCAACAGCTTGTAATCAGCTTGTGCCGCAATCAACGACGATGTGGTAAATCCAAGCACAGACCACTTTGGGGTATGGCACGCCGCAATCCATAAAAATAGGTCTCCAGTCCATTTCCCTGTGAACGATGTTGCGGGGAAACTATCGATATGTGGCTTATAGCTTCACTGAAGATGACGGCAAAACTTATTGGCATGCGATAGCCTCCACAAAGGACTGAATCTGGTTGGTGGTTTCAAACATTTTTTCCATAATATATGGGATAATCTTTACCATTGACTAATATTTTTCAGAGGGGAGGAAACCACCAACCAGGAATTGATTGGGATAGCATGTGAATTTGTTTGCACAATTCCTTTGCTTTGTGATTTTGCGGATGAATCTCCAGTGCGGACATCCAATATCTTCCAGGCATCGACAAGGAAAACCTTGCGCAATCAGCCTGTAGCTCCAATTGGTCAGCTGGTCGACCCAGGAAAATATTTTGCAATACAGTACCGTATCATACTTGGGGGTGCAGTTCGGAGGGCTATTTATTTCATTTTTTTTTGTTTAGATATTTTTTTGGGATTCCTGTTTTTCTGCTGTTCCTGCTTTTCTGCTTTTCTGCTATTTTCTGCTTCTCCGTTTTTTTTTTTTAATCTCCTGCTTCTCTGTTTTTTTCGTTTTTTTGCTGTTCCAGCTGTTCATTCTTATTTGCTTTTCTGCTTCTCTGCTTTTCTTGCTTCTCTCTTTTCTGCTTCTCTGTTTTTTCCGTGGTTTGCTTTCCTTCTTCTGTACGTTTCTGTGTTTTCTGCTTCTGCGCCTTTCTACTTCTACTTGTTCTTTTTCTGCAGTCATGCGTTTTTGCTGCTCTACTTCTTCCTGCTCCTTTGTTTCTCTACTTCCTTTCTTTACTGTCTCTTTGCTTTCTTTTTCCTTTGCCCTTTTCTCTCCTGTTTGTATCCTCAATGAAACCCTACTGTAGCCCTAGATGAAACCCAAAGGCACCCTGAAGAAATCCCAATAAGAAACCCTAAATGAAACCCTACAGATACCCTAAATATCCCTAAATCATCCTAAAGAAACCCTAAATGAAACCCTTTACGAAACACCCGAAAATGACACCCTAAAGACACCCTGAATGAAACCCTAAATGAAACCAAAATGAAACGCTAAAGAAACCGCAAACGAAACCCTAAAGAAACCGCAAACGAAACCCTAAAGAAACCCTGAAGGAACCCTAAAGAAACCCTAACCTAAATGAATCCATAGAGAAACCATAAGGATACCCTAAATGACACCCTAAAGATCCCTAAAGATACCCGCATGAACGTTTGAACTACCAACATGTAGCAAATACCATGCTTGAAGTGCCAAACATACGTATAGCAAATACCGTGCAAAATGGAAGGTGAACATGCAAATATGTAGCAAATACCATGCACAATGACAGGCTGTAGTTCCATACTGTTGCAAATACACGGCAAATGGTGCCAGGAAAGAATTCAAAAAAACAACACACCTAATCAAAATAACTCCCAAAACTATTCTTCGCCCCTTCTATACTGGATATGATATAACCGTACCAAAGGAACATGCAGGAACCCCCACAAGTTGGAATAGAGCCACTATAAGCCTATATAAGTATGTTCATATATCCACTGATAACTGGAACTGCATTCCCAAGATCCTGAACCCCGACTTGCTGCTAAAGTGCAGCTTGTTTGCAGTCCTAGGTCCCGAGCTGATGCCATCAGTTGTTTTTTCAGTGTCACCCGGATTTCTGCAGAAGATATCAACTCGATATGTCCTTCAGAAAAAGGATTCATGGATGGTGGGCTGGCTTGAAGGGCTCGAGCTCCCATTCTCAGTGGGAATTTCAGAACCACAAGATAAAAGGTATTGTACCATATAAAGCCAGACTTATCCCCTTGCGGAGCCCTTACATAGGCCTTGTATACTAGGTACATCCTTTTTTTAGTCACCTGAAATGGCAATTGACGTTATAGCCTTTCAGGCCTGTAGGAGTCGATTGCCATTGACTGGATTGACGTTTTCTGACTCGATTCAACGAGAGTCGATTGAGGGGAGGACAACAATGGACGCCGCTGAGATGCTTTTGGCTTAAAGGTTACCGCATGCAGGCGGTGCAGTAGTAAAAGCTGTGCTTCAATGGTGGCTACTAACTGGATGGCTTGAACATGATTAGCGTTCGAGGCTACAGTTTCCTTCTAGTTCTTGGACTGTTCTTGCTTTTAGATTTTTCGCCCTGTAAGGTTTCACGAATTTCCAAGGTTCCGGGTGATACTTTTGTACCGGCATGCTGATTGCAAAGACCATCGCTGCAGAACCAGACACAACCACACACCCCAGAAACATCCCAAGATGGCATGGGCATAGGCTCTAAGAGCCAATGACATGCAGTGATGGTGATAATCCTACAAGCAGGAAAAGTCACAGTAGGACAAAGATCGGCAGCAGAGACATACCACGTCACCCGCATGTCATGGCGTGTAATGTGCACCTTGGGAGGGACCCTCGGATTTTCTTGTGCACATCTAAAAGTTGTCCCAAACCACCCAAGAAATGTGGTAGACCCACACAAAAACAGCCCACGCCGCTCAAGCTTTGCATAGCCTCGAATGCAACAATTAGATGCGCTGATAGGTGTTATGACATGTCAAAGCATTCTCAGCCCCGGATGTTAAAGATTGAATCTTAAAGCGCTGGAGAATTCTAGGACTTGCCATGGCACGTGATGACCACCTTTCGTCATGGTGGGCCTCATCTCCCTCAGCGCCCAAACGGCATGGCACCATCACGGTGGGTGTGACCCAGTGAAGCTGGCTATTGATGTTGGGGAACAGGCTATCGAGTTGTTTACTTCAATGTATTTTAACGTGGTATGTTCATGATGTACGCCCAATCATAAACCATCCCAAAGTGGAGCTTATATAACTACAGTAGATGGACAAAATATTCAAACCCTGCAGCACGCACTATGTTGAACCCCCGCGCCCCCAAATCTCAATGTTTCAGCGCGCGTGTTAGCAAAAGTGATGTTAGGGGGTTGATTTTTTTCGTCCATTGGAGCTAATGAACTTCAGGCTACATTAACATTGAACTTTGGGGGCGAGGGGGTTGTACAGGATAGAAGGGGTTTGAATATTTCGTCCATCTACAGTAGTAGTACCGCACAAGGCGGTGGCGGAAGTTTCAAAGATAGGAAGCCTGTGGGAGAGGTGAGTTGCTATGATTCATGGATGGTAGAGCGAACTGATGGACCGAAAGGTGGTTGAGGCTCTGAGTTATCTATCTGTTTGTCTATCTACCTACAGTATCTATTTGTGTCTGTCTATCCATCTATCTACCTATCTATCTAGCTATCTCTAGCTATCTCTTGCTATCTCTTGCTATATCTAGCTATCTCTAGCTATATCTAGCTATTTCTCTAGCTATCTCACTATCTATCTATCTATCTGTCTGTCTGTCTGTCTATCTATCTATCTATCTATCTATCTATCTATCTGTCTAACCATCTGAAACGGAGAAATGATGTGAAACGTCCTCAACACATGAATGCGCACAGCTCCAAAACGAAACAATTTTGCGAGACTTCTCAAAAAGTGAAAGTTGACCAGTCCAAAACGATAAATGTCGCGAGGGCGAGGCCTCCTAATTTTTTGAAACTGGCAATGTAAAAAAACGCAGCAATTCGGCGAGACTTCCTTCAAAAATGGAAATTTGAGCGCAGAACTGACGGCCTCGTGCCAGTGCGTTTTGCAATTTTCTATCCCATGACATGCCTCTAAAGTACTGTGCCTGCCACGAAAAAGTGAGGCCAGGTCATACGAAGTGCTCTAGATTGATTTCCTCTCTCCGGAATTCAGCCCTGACCTCCTAACATGTCGATGGAGGTGTCTCTTGTACTGCTCCTGCCACGACCCTCCTGGGCCACAAAGCATTGGAAAAACACAGTGTTTTGCAACTACCTTTTCGCGCACATGCATCTTCTTTCTTCTAACTCCCTCTCTCTCTTCTCGATCTTCTTTCTTCTTCCCTTCTCTTCTCTGACTCTTTCCACCTCTGCTTTTTCAACTGTCCATATTTGTCGGAAGTTTGACTTCTCAACTTCCTTCGGTTGTTGGGTATTCTCCTTCTTTGCGATGATGCAAAAGGACCCCCCAACGGTTAGTCAATGGGATGGTCTATTGCTGGGTCTACCACATTATTGGGAATCAATTCCTACTGGTCCTGTCATCGTTTCAAAAGACGAACACCCAAGGTTGGCCAGCCTTAGTATTCTTAGTGAATATTCCCACTTGTGCTGTGTCTACCCGTTGTTTCGACACAATACGGACAATATTTCAAAATGTACCAGAGGGGCCTTCTGGTAATTTGATGAGTTTCCCTTTCAAACCATCATGTTTTAGTGGAGTTTCCCCATTCCTGCATAAAGAGTTGTCATTCTTCCATGTAGCTGGGGGATTTCTCAGCCAGCCATGTTTTTGATTGCACTGGAGGGCACCATTTGTTGCAGGTCAGAGAACTGACTGCTGGGCCAGAGGTGTCTAAGGACGTGACCTCAGTAGCAAGGGGTGGTGGACAGAAATCATGCAAGAAAACCATCAATGAAATTTGTACGATAGATAGACCGATAGATAGATAGACCGATAGATAGATAGATAGATAGATCGATAGATCGATAGATAGATAGATAGATACATAGATAGATAGATAGGTAGGTAGGTAGGTAGGTAGGTAGGTAGAAGATTGGATAGATAGGATAGATAGGATAGATAGGATAGATAGGATAGATAGGATAGATAGCATAGATAGGATAGATAGGATAGATAGGATAGATAGGATAGGTAGGATAGGTAGGATAGGTAGATAGATGTAGATAGATAGACAGACAAACAGACAGACATATAGATAGATATATGCACAACAATTGTATTTATAGATAAATGATCACACACACACATATATATATATATATATATTTTGTGTGCATATATTTAAGATATACACATGCGAGAGAGAGCGAGAGAGAAAGAAAAAAAGCATGTGCATATATATATATATATGTAATTCTAAGTCTATGGGCGCCTCATATCTTAACAATTTCACACTTGAGACAGTGAGCAACTATAAGATTGTGAAGTACCCTATTTTCGAACCGACCCATATACTTGCGTGTTTCTTTGTTTGTGGGATAAATCATGTGAAGCTACCCTACATAGATGAGCCGGATGGGCAGAAGCCAGAGATTTGTGAGGATGCGCTTGTATACGTATAAATATATATATAATATAATATATATATATATATTTGTTTTTGTGATATGTTTAATAGCTCAAGATTATGTAGCAAAGAAAGCAGCAGGTGCCACCCAAACAACATGAAGATTGTATGCATGTGTCCAACTTCCGAAACCTTGGGATCCAGGTGTTCCTGGCAGGCTCAGCATCCAGCGAAAGGGTAAAATAGGACGATCAGCTAAGTGGTTGGTTGATTTTCTGCAGGAAACCATGGATGCACCATCAGAATTGTGGAGGTACATCTTCTGGGAAAAGACCATAGCCGAGGAAATCATGATTTTGAGCATGAAACTCGTTTGATAAATAAGGGATACACAATGATGCTCCAAAATTTCTTTGATTCATGACCGTGTATATATTTATGTTTTTGCATATTTATTTAATTATATATATATATATCCCGTGTAAATACTGTATGTATTTACTCTTTATATATATATATATTTTATCATAAAGAAACGGTATTTAAAATATATCTATTGTTTCTATCTGTCTATCTATCTAATCCAATCCAATCCAATCCAACCTAGTCCAACCTAATCTATCTCTATTTTTATATGACTAAATTAATCTACACGATTATGTATAATGATATATATGTTCTTATTTATTTGTTTGTTTATGTATCTGTATACATGGTGCATTTATCATGTATACCCGCAAATTCACCGCAGAACTTTGCGCCCAGGTGGGCTTTGGAGTGGCTTCGCTGCCGCCGCAACTGGTGGTGCTGAAAAAGGTGACCATGAAGAGTTGGGCCGCCGAGCAGCAGCTGACCGCAGGACGGAAAAAGTGGATGTTGAACTCATTGGTAAATGATATCCAATACTGCATCCAAAAATGATATCCACTGTAGCATCCGATGTCTTATATAAATATCTTAATGATTGCAACTGGATGTTGTATCCAATACTCAGTCAAACAGTCAAACTGATATCCAATGTAGTATCATAATTGATAGTATCATATCATGATATCCAAGATGCATTGATTGTTTCCTTTCATTGGTATCCAATAATGATAGTTTTTTTGTTACGACTGGATACCAGTTACCAGGTTAAAATAGTAGTAGTAGTAGTAGTAGCAGCAGCAGCAGTAGTAGTACTGGATAGTAATTATTGGATATGAGTAATTTTAGTAATAATAATCATATTAATATAGTAATATAAGTATCAAGTAAAATTTGCAGTAAGAGTGACAACAGTAATAACGCTAACAATAGCAAGAACCCTAATGAAAGTAATAATAAAATCACATTATAGTACTAGCACTTAGTTTTTTAAGTCATATAAAGAATTTACAACATATATATATATATGTATGGTATGGTATGGTATGGTATGGTATGGTATGTATGTATGTATGTATAGTATGTATGTATACATATATATATATGTGTGTATGTATGTATTTATGTATGTACGTATGTATGCATGCATGTATGTATGTATGTATGTATGTATGCACGTATATCGATTTCTATTCCGTACTAAGAATTCTTTCCCATAGACCTATATCATGTGGGGATGGGTTAGTGACCCACCTATTGTGAGGTAGTTAAAACCTAAGGATGTTTTGTAAAATTGTGAAGAACTTGGGAAGTGAATATTTTTGAAGGCCATTTCAATGTCAAGAAAATATGTTTTGTTTTGTTGTTTTTGTGAAAAGAAACATCCTTTGTTATGTGTGTTTCTTTCGGGCTTGTTTGCCGCTTAACCATGATTTCAGGTCAGGTCAGGCTGTATTTAACAGCGGAAGTGATTTTTTACCAACAAAAACTGCAATTCAACCACAAAAGCTGTGATCCCTGTGTTGAAGATTTTGTAGGTCAAAACCGACCCCATGATTGCCCCATCATGGGCCAGGAGACGTCTTGTTGGAGCTGATGCTTGGAGCTGGGAGCGGGGCCAAGTGGTGAAGGGATGAGATTGGACATGATCAACCATGGAAACTAGTTGATATGATATCGAATCGTCATATTTGATTTGTGGATGAACCGTAAATCCATGATGGAATCATGAGAATAGTTGTCACCCTGGACATAAACCATGTGAGTTCGGATGATTTTGGGCTGGATGAACTAGGGTGAGATGAGGATCTGCGGATGAGCTGTTCAGTGGGAAAGGGGATCCAATCAGCCCAGGAAATGCCAATGGGATGTCAAGGAAACATGCTTTGAACAAGGCACAAGATGATAGATTCAGCTGGACGAAGAAGAAATTGACCAGTTTCGGCCACAATCAAGGTTGCGGAGACTTTTGGAGTATTTTGGAGTTACAAGACTTCTTGATGCATGTTTCATATCTCATGACCTTACATACAGTGGTCATGACAAAGAATATCCAAATACTCCAAACGTTTGTTTAATATATCACCTCCTAGCACCTATCACCCAATATAGTGACTGCGTTTCTGCCAAGGAACGGCTTGCAGATGAGTGTCCTGGAGTCCAAAATCTCTAGCTGCGTGGGTTGGTCAAACCCGTGTCATGTTCTGGCCCCAAGCTTCCCGCTGCAAATACCCGGATCGGATGTATACGTATATATATATACGATATATATATATATATATATAAATATATATACGTATATATATATGCACATACAAATACAATGAAATCATTTGCATACGCTTACACATATTTACTAATATTATACATGTAGATAAACATCATGCATATAGACACATATTACACATACGCGCACGTATAGATACATATACAAGCACAGGAAGATGCAAATAGCCATGTACATACATACGTGTGAGCACATGTGCGTATAAGTATCATTGTTAACAGTAGATACATGGATAGAAGGAAAATATATGGATAGATCGATCGATTGACAGACCCAGAGGTCTACAGATCGGTAGATGTGGGCGTGCGCGCACAAACACGAACACATACATACATACATAACATAGCATAACATAACATTGCGTGATAATAAATTACATTAGATTGCATTACATTACATTATGTTACATTACAGTACGTTACATTGCAAACATTATATCACATATATTACATTACATTATGTTACGTTACGTTATGTTACATTAAGTTACTTTACATTAGGTTACATGGCATTACATTGCATTAGGTTCATTACATTGCATTACATTAGATTCGGTTACATTACTTTACAGTAGATTACATTACAGTACAATACATTAGATCACGTCTCACTACATTCATCACATCACATCACATCACATCACGTCACATCACATCACATCACATTACATTATTATTTTTTACATTATTACATACATACCACCTACCCACCCACCTACCTACCCAGCTACATACATTACATTACATTACACTACATTACACTACATTACACTACATTACATTACATTACTGTACGTTACATTTCGTTACATTTCGTTACATTACATTACATCCATTCATGCATGTATGCATGAATACATACTTACATACATCACATACATCACATTCGTCACATTCGTCACATACATAACATACATAACGTTTATCACATACATGCATGCATCACATACATGCATCACATGCATGCATTACACTCAGACACTGCATGCACTACATACACAGACTACATATATACATCATGCATTACATACATACATGCATCATATACATACATTACATGCACGACATACTTGCATTACATACATAGGTGCATAGATAGATAGACAGACAGACAGATAGACAGATAGATATATAGATAGATAGATCCATGCAAACATACTAACAGAGACAGACAGAGACAGAGACAGAGAGAGAGAGAGAGAGGCTGACAGAAACAAACAGAGACAAACAGGGACAAACAGAGAGACAGAGACAGACAGACATACATACCTTTGTATCCGCCGCCACGGACGGATAAGGTCGCCTACATGAACATCAAAGCTAATGACATCCTGTGCCCAGGAAACAAAATGCGCCACAGCAGCTGCGTTTACACACCTGCCACTGAAGGTCTTTTTTGGCCGCACCTTCAGTGACAGGCCTGTGGCCCTCTGCGCAATTAATGATAGCGCGTAGGGCCCAAGTCACGCAAGGATAGGGGTCGTCATACATACACGTGCACACATTTACACAACGAAACCATCCAGAGAACAGTGGGCCTTGGGTCAAACTAGGGGCACCAATCAAGGCACAAATTCGCAATTTTCTGCATTAAACTGTCCATTTTGGTTGGATGACAATCCTAACCCATCGCCAGTTCCCAAGGCGAAATGTCAAGACCCCAATTCTTGAGCCTCATGGAGACGCGGCCTTTGTGCAGCTCGGCAGTTCCCGGTTTCGTTGGGAGTTTCGAAAATTTGCGGACCTGAAGCACATCCTCCAGCGTCAAATGTCCCATGTGAATTTAAAAACTTACAGATGATAATAAATAAATCAATAAATTAATTGATTATATATATATAATATAATATATAGTATAATATAGCATAATATATTTACCTACAATACTATATATATATAAATATCCGTCTTTCCCCCTGTGTATACCATATAAAATATGTATCATAGAGAGATTTCTTTTTTGGAACAAACATTGTGTGTACAGAGTCCGCATTACATGCCATCCTATACTTTTTGCAGTGCCTCATCAGAGCAGAGGGGCAATCCCAAAAGTTTGTGTGGAAATCTTTGTTTTGAGAAAATATGCTAAGACAGTACCCTGGAAGTTGGCAAAAAGTTGAAATCAAAGTTGACACAAATAAACTTATGAGTTGGAAAAAGCTGACACAAAAGTTGAAAGTTCAAAGAAAAGTTGATGCAAGAGTTGGAAGGTCAAAAAAAATTGACCCCAAAGTTGAAAGGTCCAGAAAAGTTGGCGCAAAAGTTGGATGGTCAAACAAAAGTTGATGCAAAAAATGAAAGGTCTAAAAGGAATTGGCACACAAGTTGAAAGGCCAAAAAAAGTTAAGTTGAACGACACACAAGTTCAAGGGTCAAAGAAAAGTTGACACAAAAGTTGAAAGGTAGCAAAAGTGAAGGCTGTGCACAGAGGTTTTTTGCCCCCAGTTGTTGCAGGAACTCCAAAACACCTGCAAAGTTGGAGCAAAAGTTGCAAGGCCAGAAAGAATGTTCTCTTTTGACTCCGTTTTTTTCAACTTTTGCGTCAACTTGTTTTGGACCTTGCGACTTTTGTGACAATTTTTGCGTCATTTGTTTTTGAGCCTTCAACTTTTGCGCATTATTTTTCATGTTTTCCAATTTTTCTCTCAACGTTTCTTCAAGTTTCCCGGTGGTCCTTTTAGCATGAAATTCTTGGTACATAGGATGTTGGCTGTCGGTCCCTGGGCTCCAGAGCCATGCCCATCGGGGCAGCAACCCCATTACAACTGGAAATTGTTCCTAAGAGAGCGTACGCAAAATTGACAATTACCCCGAGGAAAAAGTTGAACAAAAGGTTGACAAAAAGGTTGGAGAAGATGAACAAAGTTGGGAAACAGTTGGTGCACAAGTCGGCGCAAAAGTCGAAGGCCCGACAAAGCTGAGGGAAAAGTTGGACAGACAGTTGGCGTCAAAAATGGCCCAAAATTTCTGGCGCGCTGCATCCCTCACTTTTTTGCCAACTTTTGTTCGTCCCATCAACTTTTGAGTCAACTTTCTTTGGGCCCCTCAACTTTTGAGCCAACTTGCTTTTGAGCCCTTCAACTTTTGGTTTAACTTTTGTGTAAACTTGTTTCCGACCTTTCAACTTTCGCGCCATGTTTTTAAACCATTCAACTTTTGTATCATTTTTTAAATGTCAGTTTTGCTGTCAACTTTACTTGCAACTTCAAGGGTGTCTTAGCAGCATGTTTTCATAAAATCATGGAAACAAATTCGTTCAGTAATTTTCAAGGCCAACTATCATTTTCGATTGGCTATGGTGGGCTACTATGGCATGGGCTACTGCCATGTCGACATTGCCGCAATGGCTCGACACAGCTGAGGCTTCAAGTTTGTCATCAATCCCTTGAAGAACAGACAGCTGCACGAATCTCCACAGGAGGCGGAAGAAGGAGAGACGGACTACGCAGGCCGGACGCGGTTCAAACTCGAAATATCTCATTGCGAAGAAATACTGTAGCAAACCGAGCCCCCCGCACAGCCAAATATATTTCGGATTTGTGTAAAACGTGATAACCGCTCCCCCTAATGTTATATAAATACATTTAAATATTGCACCCATCTAGAAACCGTGGTTTAGCCAACGGGGGTTTAGATAGTAAAGTTCTGAGTTACGGACGAATTGCCATGGTCAGTTTTCACATCGTCACGAAAAAAACACGCCATGTCAAGTAGTTGGGACGTGAAACAGTAGATCACGGGATCAATCCGGGAACGTGTGACTTTGCGGGTGAAAGATTGGAAGTGCATGAGTCACCCTGTTGTGTTTCCGCGGTTGCGGGCCTCGACCTGCAAAAGCTGTCGACAAAATGGCGCGGGAAAGAGAGCTCGGCGCTGTTCCGCATGGTTGGGCCATGTTTGGAAGATGAGGCGGAAAAATGCGTGCGGTACTGTAGCAAGAGCTCGGTTGACGGTTGGCCAAAGGCCAAAGGCACCTTTAAAATCCTTTAAGAATCTTTGAAAAAAATGAGGCGTGGAAGTTCAAACCAGAGTTGGATTTGTGCGGAGGCGATTTCAGGCCCGAAATGGCGGCGATTGTTGGTGCTTCCGTGCTATTCGGGACATTGTTGCAGGCCGCCATTTGCCATTGATTTCTTGTAATGTAGGCTGCCTAGTATCTCAGTGTAGCTCAATGCAGCGCAGTGTATTGCAATCCATGTCTATCTACCTACCTACCTTTCTGTATGTTTTGCTTTCTATACATCTACTTAACTTAACAACCTATTTACCTAATTACCTATTTATCTAATTACCTATGTCTATACCTATCGATCTATCTATCTCTTTATCTCTCTCTCTCTATCTATCTATCTCTCTGTCTGTCTATCTATCTATCTATCTATCTATCTGTTTGTCTGTCTGTCTGTCTGTCTATCTATCTATCTATCTATCTATCTATTTGTCTGTCTATCGATCGACCTATCTATCCTATCCGTTTGTCTGTCTGTCTGTCCGTCTATCTTATCTATCTTATCTATCTTATCTATCTTATCTATCTTATCCAGCTTATCTATTGTATCTATCTTATCTATCTTATCTATCTTATCTATCTTATCTATTTTATCTATTTTTCTTTCTTATCTATTGTATATGTCTTATCTAATTTATCGATCTTATCTATCTTATCTATCTTATCTATATTATATATATTATATATTGTTTTTCTTATCTATCTTATCTATCGTATCTATCTTATCTATCTCATCTACCTTATCTATCTTATCTATCTTATCTTTCTTATCTATCTTATCTATCTTATCTATCGTATCTATCTTATCTATCTTATCTTATATATCTTATCTATCCTATCCTATCTCTATCTATCGATCTATCGATCTATCTATCTATTTAGCTTTCTCTCTATCTATCTATCTATCTATCTATCTATCTATTATTTAGCTTTCTCATCTATCTATCTATCTATCTATCTATCTATCTATCAAATAATCTATCTAATCTATCTATCTATCTATCTATCGATCAGTCAATCAATCTATCTATCTATCTGTCTGTCTATCGATCGACCTACCTATCCTATCCTATCCTATCCTATCCTATCCTATCCTATCCTATCTGTCTGTCTATCTATCTATCTATCTTTCTTCTTATTTTTCTATCTATCTATCTACCTACCTACCTACCTATCTATCTATCTATCTATGTATCTATCTATCTATCTACCTATCTATCTATCTATCTATCTATTTATCTATTTATCTATCTATCTATCTATATATATATCTAATCTATCTATCTAATCTATCTATCTAATCTATCTATCTAATCTATCTATCTAATCTATCTAATCTAATCTATCTATCTAATCTATCTATCTAATCTATCTATCTATCTATCTATTTATCTATCTATCTATCTGTCTATCTATTTATCTATCTATCAATTATCTATGTGCCTATCTATCCATCAATCTATCTGTCTATCTATCTGTCTATCTATCTATCGATCTATCTATCTTTCTATCTTTCTATCTATCCATCTCTATCTTTTTATCTTTCTATCTATCTATCTATCTATCTCTTTATTTGTTGTTTTCTTTGCCAAAGGAAGTTTAGTGAGCGAACTTCCGAGTTACGGACGATGGCCATGGCTAGCATTCACACCTTCATGCCAGCCACATCATCATGTCAACCTCACTATAAGGTAGTTGGGAAGTGAAATGCAGGCGGAGGCTGCTAAACGCATTGTAACAGCTGAAGACCTACAGAAGAGGAAGGCAGGTCAGGGCGGTCAGGGCAGAAGTAGCCCAGACAAAGGGCTGCGCACAGAAGAAGTAGCTGATAGAAGAGGTACCTCAGCGAAGAGGTCGCTCAGCGAAGAAGTAGCTGAACAAAGAAAAGGGGCTTACTCCTCCATCTGCCCACCCACCTATCCATTCATTCATCCGTTCGTTCTCCCATTCGCTGATTCATTGATTCATTCGTTTGTTGCTTCAAATTTATTATGTTTTTTTGGTTCATTGATTCATTGCTTCGTTGATTCACTGCTTCATTGCAAACTTTACCAGAATATTCACTGATTCATTGATTCCTTGTTTTTTTATTATTGATTCGATGATTCATTGCTTCGTTGATTCATTGATTCATCGGTTCTTTTTGCCATTGTTCATTTTCATTTACTGATTCATCGGCTCATTGATTCATTGACTCACTGATTCGTGGCTTTATTGGCTCATTGGTTCATTGATTCGTTGGTTCAATGGTTTATTGATTTATTGGCTTCTTGGCCCGTTGATTCGTTGATGTGTCATTGAATCATCTTTATTGATCATCGGTTCATTGATTCGTTGTTTCGTGCAATCATTGGTTCATTGATTCACGGGTTCCATTGATTCACTGAAGCATTGATTCCTGATTTATGCTTCGTTGCTTCATTGATCACTGATTGACCGATTGATTGATTGACTGATCGATTCCTGGATTCATTGGTTCATTGCTTCGTTCCTTCATCGGTTCCCTGTTTCATTGATTCATATGAATATGGACCATTGGTTCATCGGTTTGTTGGTTCATTGATTCATGCAGTTGTGCATGGGTTTTTTCGTGTCATTTCATTGGCATCTCAACCACCATTTGCTCATTCGTTGATGCACCTGACAACTTCAACACTTCGTTGCTTCTGCATCTCAAAACCTTTCTTATAAGGCAATCTTCTTCCTACAGTGGTTTAAAAATGTTCGAAACCTTGGCGTCGGTGCGGGCCGGGCACTACCTGGTAGATTATAGATTATGGTAGATTTTTTCTTATCTGTATATGTTCAGGCATATGCTTATGTGTTTGTACATGTTTTCGTGAAATTTCATGTAATTTGCACATGTATTTATATAATTTATTAAACATAAATATCTGTTTGAAAAATTGATTGTTTAGTTTCGTATCCGGTGTCGTATCCGTATTTTGGCCGTTTTGCCTGATCAACAACTATCATCCTGGCTGGCTATCTCAGCTATGTTGGCCCAGGTAAAACCCCGCCCGTCGCAAGCTGCTCCAGCACGGCCAGCGCTAGCGACGATGAGAAGGCGGATGACACGACGCTGCAGGAGAGCCCGTAGGTAGAGCACTTGGTTGGGACTGACATTTGGCATTCGTAGAAGATGCAGTTTTTTTGGGGCGTGATGGGGTTGGGATGGTTCCTGATTTTTTCCCCAAATTTCAATTTTTTCAAATATATTCAAACCAATTCTAGGTAAACTATAACGAGTTCATCGGCGAGGCCCCACCACATAATTGTGAATAGGGGAATCACCTGAAACAAATGTTTATTTTGGATATTTTGGGCGAAATTTGCATAACGTCCGTGCATGGCATATAATCTGCATTTTTAGCAAGTTGGGTGGTCTCAAGGGGGAAATCTAGAGGCCTTGACCATATATACTTGTACACGGATGTTTTGGGATAGCAAGGTTTGTTGTTTCATTCGGAAACGTGGGGTTGGCCACTCCATCCTTCTTGGTGGCCCAGTGAATGAGGTGAAACACCATTTTGTGATTTTTGTGGTGACCAGTTTTAGTGTTTTTTTCATGATGTTTTTTGTTTGAACTGTTTTTCTATTTTCGTCCAAGCGTGGGCCTTCCAAAAATGCAAGAACGAATTCAATCCCATCAATTTGCGGATATTAGCAGTCCCCACTTGTGATGTCCAGCTGGTTTGTTTCCGACTTGGCACCTCCCTAATTTATCCTAATTTCATCAAATCACCGCAAAACTGGTTCGCACTACCGGTCAGTACGTTTCCTAAATGGGTTATCCACATGGTTATCCCATGTAGAAACGGGTTGGTTACTACCCAGCCCCTCCAGCCATCACCGGCAGGAGGGCCAGGTTAAGACTCGTCAGAGTCTGTCAGACTGGTACCTGGAGCAGGACGAGGACGTCCTCTGCATGATGATTTCGTGGGGATTTCTTCAGAATTTTGCAATTTTGATGAGGATTTAACGATGATGTAACCAAACTGGCAATACATGGAATTTATCCCAAATTGGTTTTGCCCAGAAAGGGATGGTGACCCTCAAAACGGCAATTTTGATGAAGTGTCCTGTTTGTGGGCAAAGCGTAAAATGGATATGGGGACGGGTATCCCTCATGCTGAAGGTTTGTCACTTGGGGAGATCTGAAGGTATCACTGGCCCTGTTCATGGTTTCACGCATTTTTCAGGTTCAACCCTGGGATCATGATTCCGACCAATATGTGTCAGGGCTGAAACATGCTGAAATATGCTGAAACCACCCAATGGCACGATGAACGGCATGTGTACTTCCAAGGTCCTGAAATTTGCACCCATTGTGGCATGTTCATGAACCTTGAAACTTCGTGGTTTATGAGTGAACACATACCACAATACACATTGCTGAACAAAGTTTGTAAAAATCTGGGACAACTACGACCTCACCTTGAAAATGATGATTATCCCATGGGGATTCAACCCTCTCCAGCAACCATGTATCATCATGTATCCATATTTGTAAGGGTCATCGAGTCACTATGGGGTTGGAACGTGATCCCCATGATGGCCCTTTTCTTTCATGAAACGGCCCCAAAAAGTATCGAACGTGCCCCAAAAACATGGTAACGGCGTTGATAAGAGGCCGTGCAGTGGTGTAAGATCGACATTCCATCATAAGTGTTCAATTTCAATTTAGTGAGGGTTTTTCAACATTTTCATCATATCATGGTGTTTTCAATGAGCTTAAAACCACGTAGTGTTCACCAAAAATATTGATTTTTGAGCGTTTTACCTGATAAAATTGCATTTTTTAATGACAACCCTTGTTTCCGAAACTTTGTGTGACATGAATATTGACGTAAGAGAAACCTACTTTGGACCAGCCTGGGACTTAGGGACTTATAAGTTATGAAGTAAGTTCACTTATAAGTGGCTATGTGGCATGGCAAGTTAGTTATAAGCCTCTAAGTGGTTTCCAGTGTGTGGTAGGTTAGGTGGCACTTGCTATTGATTTAGGGTGAGATATAAGTTTTATAAGTGAAATGATCATGACTTAGAGATCACCTAGCGATTATTTAGCTTGGATTTTCAAACGTAAGTTTTGGCAAGGGTTTTGGGTTAGCTCTGAAATCACGATGGTTTTTGCAGGTATTTTGGTTTCAGGCATGTCGGTCGAAAAGCAATTGGAAGCTGCGCAAAATTCCTAAGAGGAATTCGTTCGCTGACCTCCTACGAGGTCAGGGACAAACAGGCGCTGGGTGTGCTGAAAGCTCTGGAGAAAGTGCAGTGCTACATCCGAAAATCAGTGGCCTGTGTTTGCTGCCGGCTTCCTACGAGGAATGGACAAGCGCATGGTATGACCATGTGCAATGGAAGCAAATGCATTTGGTGCCAGATATATATCGCTGCAGCAAATGGTTGAATATTATCTTGGCTTGGCATTTTTTCGGAAACCTGATCGCAGGAGAGAGTTTCAGTGGTGCCGACGCAGTGCCTGGCTTCTATGGGAAGCTAGGCGGAGCCTACGGGCTGCAGAAACGGAACAACCTTTGGACGGTCGAAAGGTTGAAAAAATGTAGATTACCTGTGTCTGCGGATGTCTGCGAATGTCTGCGGATGTCTGCGGATGACAGACCTTAATGTGGCGTGTCTGCGGCCACTGTCTGCGGACATGGCCAAAGTGCTGTGGGAGTGAGTATCCGCCATGTCTGCGGTGTCTGCGAGCGAGGAAAAGTGTGATTCTCGTGCTGTTGCATGTCTGCGAGATGTCTGCGGACATAGAAGTATAGAATTTTGCATCTTTGCTCGATGTCTGCGGCTCTTCCGGCCAAAACGATTCGAAATCAATGTAAAACGGCTCTTGCCAAAGAACTAGGGGTGTCTACTGATGCTTCCTTTGCAAAAGGCATTCAAATTTATTGCGTCGAGTACTCACGCGGGACCTTCGCCCAAATGTCAGCTACGTGCTGCATAGAGGTTCTGCATGGCCTTTTGCATGCAAACTGTCTCTATGTCGTGGTGCAAACATTGCAACCTTTCCTTACGGAGAAATTCATTCTGAAATGGAAACGGGGCCCCAAACAAATTCTGCTTGCATCAAAATTGATGCACATAGAACCAATGCGTTTGCTACGTGAAGATCAGGATGGTCTTTGGCTTTTGCGCTGACCATGCAACATCCTCATGAAGAAAAAAGGCTGCCTTCTCACCTGACTACCCCCAAAAAAACATCCAAATCTACAAAATAAATGAAACCACCTAAAGTGTATAAAAAACAATGCAAATCACTTAGCTTACTTAGCGGCCATTTAACTCACACTTAGCAACCCCTCAAACCTAAGTAACCTAAGTGCCAACTAAGTGCCTGCTAAGTTCCTAAGTTCCCAGGCGGCTCCAAAGTAGCAGTAGCGTCGCATGACGTATGTTTGGAAGTGCAAGAGAAACTAGCAGTAGCGTAGCATGACGTAAGTGTGAATGCGCAAGAGAAACTAGCAGTAGCGTCGCGTGACGTATGTGTGGAAGTGCAAGAAAAACCTAGCAGTAGCGTAGCATGACGTATGTGTGAATGTGCAAGAGAAACCTAGCAGTAGCGTCGCATGACGTATGTGTGGAAGTGCAAGAGAAACCTAGCAGTAGCTTAGCATAACGTATGTGTGGAAGTGCAAGAGAAACCTAGCAGTAGCTTAGCATAACGTATGTGTGGAAGTGCAAGAGAAACCTAGCAGTAGCTTAGCATAACGTATGTGTGCAAGAGAAACCTAGCAGTAGAGCAAACCTAGCAGTAGCGCATCGTATGTGTGGAAGTGCATGCACTTAGCATAACGTATGTGTGCAAGTGCAAGAGAAACCTAGCAGTAGCGTCGCATGACGTATGTGTGAATGCGCAAGAGAAACTAGCAGTAGCGTAGCATGACGTATGTGTGGAAGTGCAAGAGAACCTTGCAGTCGCAAAGAACGTTAACATCCCCCCCCACCCCCACCCCCACCCCCCCCACCCGGTTCACAATCACAATGACAAGAAGAACACACAAAACCGAAAAAATGGAGACAGCACACGGCCCCTTAACAGCGTCGACGCCAAAAACATCGTTGTTTTGCAAACCCAAGAATGAGGGGTACAGGCCCCAAACAAATCCCTATCGAGATATATAGCTATAATTACAGATATATAGATATGTAGATATGTAGATATATATATATATATATAAATATATAAATATATAGCATCCAGGGGCCTGTTGGCCTGTTGGCCTGGGCCCGCGCCAGGCGGCCCCAGATCTCACTGGACGCAAGGCCAGCGGGACGGCAAGGGAAAATCGCATCGCTACCCGAAAAACATCCAAGGGTGAATCATATGTTTCTAATGGATGGGCATAGCTTGGTTTTTTGGGGGGCCCTATTTTCACACAAACCAACGACATCAAAAAAATGATCAACATACCAAAGACATTCGGACTCACCTGTGTTGCTTGGGGTACTTTATGGTATTTTGTTCATGGTATTTGGAGGTATTTTGGGTATCCCCAGTGTTACCGCTATTGACTGAAACAAAGATCGCAGCTCACAGATGGCCGCAGGGATCGAACATACACTTTTTGAGCCCCACAAGTACAAACTGAAGACCCTTCTCCAACCTCAAGCTCCGACATTGTCCGACATTCCATGGCTATGACCCTGACTACAACTTTCACCTTCTCAAAGTGGTTGAATCGCTCCCTACGCCGCAGGGCAGTGTCGGTTCCTGGTACCTGGATGGTCAACGGCCATCAGACGGTCAAAGTCGACTCACCTCCCATCATCGCCTGAGTGCTTCAGTTCCGCTGACAGGCAGGCCGCATGTTGGAGATGTGGCATGATGATGCATGATGAATGGCAAAAGATACTAAAAGGTGGAGGATGAAAAGGAGTTGCCAGTGGAGGAAATTCTGTTTGCTGTGGCACTTGTGACTAGGTGACATACTACAATGATTATATATTATATACATTTTACATGGATATAATTTGTATTTTATCTCGTCATATTCTTCAGTGGTGCCTTCATCCAAATGAATAATCATCACCCTACAAACCCTGGTTTTGAGTAGTGGAATTGTCTATTTTTGGGTGACATTCGTTTGGCCGTGTTTATTGTTAGGAGAACGGAATTACTTTCATGTATTTGATATGTTTGAACCTGAATGTTCCTCCTTTTCTTGAATCTTGGCTCCAGCGTTCCGGCCAAGACACTGCACGTACAAAGTACGGCAGCTCCACTCGTGGCCGAGAAAAAAAGAGCAGCTGTGGGTTTCATGTGGTGCTGCTGCAATGAAGAGACTGAGCTCGAAGTGGCCCTGCCAAAGTTGGCGGCCTCCGAACAGGTGCTGCCGCCGACACCAGAGGAGGTCAGGTCGGCGTCCGACAGGTCCTTGATGCGCGCCCAGACGGTGGCGAAATTAGCCGAGGCGGACACCATGCACTTCTTCACGGCACAGTTCGTCCGCTCTGCGGGCACCAGCTTTGGGCTGGATGTCTCTGCGGTTGGCCGGGTGTGTATGGTGAATTCAGTGGCGCCCGATAGCTTGGTGGGTGAGTGGAATGCGAAGGCGATAAAGGAGGAGAGGGATCGAGAAGTGATCCAGCAGCAGCTTGCTGCACTGGGGGAGTCCTGGGGTCCCTGCTGATTAAATAGGATAAACAGGAGTCGAAGCTAGTTTTTGATGGTTCTGCATGGTTCTGCTGGATATGTACATCACAGATTGTATGGATCAACACGCAAACATATTTAGTTATGTATGTATGTATGTATGTATGCATATATATATATATATACATACACACTTGAGATTAATTAAGGATATGTGATATGTGTGCAGTACACACGGTGGTTGGTTGGTTGGTTGATTGGTTGGTTGGATGGATGGATGGATGGGCGGCCAGAAAGGTAGATAGACAGGCAGATAGAAAGGTAGATAGATTAGATAGGTAGATAAGTAGACTGACTAGGTATAGAGATAGATTTTGGTGTAGGGTTTAATATATATGTGTGTGTGTGCGTTTGTTTGTGTATGCATCATGTGACATCCATGTCTCCAAAATTATTTCACCTTGTAACTCTATTTATTTATGTATGTATTTATTTGTTTGTCTCTATCTCTCGCTTAACCTGAATTTGCACATATACAAATTTATATGCATACATGCAGTCTTGAATTTAAATGTTATGTAATAATTAGCATGAATGTGCTCCCAAAGCGGCACTCAGGACCTCCGATGCGATTGCAGGGGTGTTCAAGCAACATCCCTTCGAAAATAATCAATTTTTAGAGGAAAATCAACTTCCCATACTTGCCAGGGTCTAACTTAAATTGGGGAATGGTAAATCCAGTAAGTCCCAATGTTTAATGGCAAAGTAATCTTCAATCACCATGTGTACTGGTTAAACCATGTTAAACCACCACTTTTCATGAATCACGAGTGAAATCAGTTGATAATCAAATCCCCAAGGACCGCCCGCGGTCTTTTTCGGCCCAGCGGATTTAGGTATGACCGGCTCATGGCCTTGAACGACGAACGGCCTGAGAAGGGTCGTGACATGTCCGAGAAGTTGAAGAATATCAAGGGCTTCGTGAGCATCGTCATCCAGCCACCCGTCATGGGCGAGGGTTGTTTTTGGGGAGTTCATCAAACATGGTGCTATGTCCTAGGGCTAACTGATGTTTAATGATGTTTGAATGGACGTAATCTGGATGAATCATTTTTGAACTCTCGGGATGTGACCAGAAAAGATGCATCTTGGAGTCTTGGAGCCTAAAAGACACGGAACCTACCAGCAGGAGATAAAGATTCAAACATCAACGATGGGGATATACGCACCAGCTGCTGCTGGTTGAAGCACGATCATAAAATGACATCAAGCGACGTGGTACATCTTCACAGCAACTCAAGGTACATCAATGACCTCACCACGACGTCACCGGAAATGATGGTGGAAGTAAGGGGAACTATGGAATCGATTGAACAGGATTCACAACTATCCTAGGTGTGAGGAGGAAATTGCTTACTAGTTTGGAAACGGCACACTTGATAGTATTATGATAGTATATATGAATTTACTGTATATATATATATATATCATTGATTCATCAATATAGATCCTTGGATTGTGAAGCCTGCAAGATTGCTAAGCATCCAGTGTGTTAACACGGCGATCCACTATTTTTGTTTTTATAAACTGGGGTTTGGGATTTGGCATTGCCAGGATACCTGAACTGACCTAGCACCAGCTGATAAACTAACGCAGCAAACGAAGATTGCCAATTCGAACAAGTTTGCCACTGCTGTGTTAGACCACGGGAGGTATAAACCCAATATGAAACCCTACTAGCGGTAAGGCTTACAAATTATAACGGCCCTTCAAGTGGTATAGTATGGTAATGTATGGTATATGTTGTTGGAATGTTGTTGATTGTTGTTGGATTTTGCGAATTCATCCCGTCCCCCGATCAAATAGAGCCACCCAGCATTAAATGATTATATGGAAACTTGAAATGTACAGATCCGAAAATGAAGCAACGGTTTCCTGGGAGGTTGTCTATGAGGGGGGGTTCATTTCCCAATTGAGAATTCCACAGTTGTGGAAACTGGCAAATCTGGCAATCCAAACATGATGCGACCCAGGGTGGTTGTGGAGACACCCACCTTGCAAATTGTTGGGTTAGTAAATCTGCAGCTTATCAGCAGGGCGGTCCCCGAAAGAGTGATGATTCCAATCATTGATGGCCAGATTATCAATAGATCACACAAAGATTGGTCAATTCGGGGGTTATTAAGGCTATGAATTGCTATATGTCATGTGTGTTCAATGGTATCATTGCCTATCATAGTGTATCACGAGTTTGTATTGTTTTTGTGATTGTTCTTCATGGCTCATGAATTTTCATTATTTGTCATGTCTATTTAAAACGATCTATAATTTATCATTGGATATTTGATGTGTCATTACCATTATTCATATCTACTAGCTCATATTGTTTCCCTTTTAGCTGGACTCCCGGAAGTGAAACATGTATAAACATGTAATTACATGTAATATGTAATTACTAGGAAGATGTTCCTTTTGGGGCGGCCAAGTCCTAAGGAGACCAGTCATACGGAAGGTCACCGTTGTCAAGAACGGGTTGAAGGACTTGGGATTTTTGGCGGCAGTTGATGTTCAGGACAAACCGCAGGTGAACACTGCTACACCTTGGATGGTTGCTCAATGATCAATGCTTGATGTGTTTTCAGGCGTAGCTTAGGTGGCTCGCAGTGTGGTTTTGTGGTTTTCGCATGTTTTTGCTGGAAGCCAGGCTGACAGTTTATTTAGTGATCATATGGTCAAGTGATGGCCGAAACCAACAAAGATTTGTAGACATTCAAACCTAAGGGTTCCTGCCCCTCACAGGTTTCCACCAAACAAATATTGCCTTATGGAGGGTTATTAACCCCCATCCCTTGTAAGGGCCGGTTTGTTCTATTGCCAACTGACTAAGTTGCTGAAACACATTTTGTGATTTCCATCCTGAAATATCTAGGCCAAATTGGGGTCAATCTGGGGACCCATGCAAAACATTACTTGGATGATCTTGGATGTATTCAATCTTCGGGTGAATGTTTGTTCCTTTTGTCAACGCAATAAGGTACGGTATGAAAAACCTTATTGATACAAACGCTAACTTACAATCTGAAAACACCCAAAGGATCCCAAAGGTAGATCTCCGGGCATCAATGCTATGGGCACCCACCAATGCAGATAGTGCCATGATTTCGTTCCAGAAGTGGTGAAGGAAAAAGTAAAGAACGAGAAATGCAGGGTAAAATAAATGGTTTAATATGAGTAAAACAATCATAAACCACCACATTTTTGATGGTTTTTACCATTCATTTATGGTGATTTTGGGGATGGTTTATTATTGTTTAACCACATTAAACCGTTCCCCTGGCAAGATTGTTTTTGTTGCTCAGGCATCAGCATCATTGACGGGCACGGGTTCATGGTTGTTTCTTCAGTCGGCGAGGGTGGCCGAAACGGGTAGGGAGGGAAGGATCGTATCGCCAGTTGCAGGGTCAGGGCCTTTCACCACCAAATATCGAAGGCCTTCTTTCGACAGAGGGCCTTTTTTTCAGAAGTTCGCCTTTAGGATGTGCAAAAAATCTCTTCTTCATTATATAGTTGAAGGTCGACTAGGCTAGCGGCAGAAAGTGATGCTTATAGACGAGGACAGGTTGGTGGTTTCAAATACGGCTCGTTTTCACCCCAATTGACCTTTTTTGCGGTTGAAACCATCTATAATCTATAAGCTTTTGGGCTCCCTTTTCCAGCGGCCACGGTGTGGACAGGCACTATCATCAGCCAACACAATGCTTTAGCGGCCTATGAGGACGTGATTGGAGTTCCCACACGGATCATCAGCATCTTGGATAAAAAAAATGTTCTTTACCCACTGGTTGATTGATAGAGGGATTCACCAATTGAAGAATTTATGAATTTAGGTCAACAATGACCAATGGTATGCCAAACCACCCCCATTTTGGATTGCAGAGTCATGTGTTCCTTCTTTTTTTTAGTATATTATGTATATATGTATACTTATATATTACAATCATTACCCCCAAACAGTCAATCCACCAGAATTGACGCGTCTCATCTTGACTGGGACCCTTAGTCCGGGATGTGCAAAATCCACTCGGAAATCCACGAGAATTTCGCAGATGTCGATTTCGATGATCCCAACAGACTAGCCAGAAGTGTTAAGATGTGTGAACGGTGATTCATGTTACCATGTTCTTGGTACCTCCTTGGGAAATGCCATGTTGCTGGCAAGCTCACTGATAGACCTCCGATATCCTCCGGTTTAGGAATGTTCAAACCAACCATTTCTGCTAAGATTGGGGAAGGATATGGCGAAGGTGTAAACGTGGGTCTGGGATTCCCACCATGTAGCGAGAAAATGTTTTTTGTAATATGATGTTATTTTCATTTGTTTTGGACTTATGTTGTTGTATTGTGTAGATTCATTAAATTAAAATAAGGTTTGAGATCACAATTTAAAGTAATGGTTCAATCCCCTAATGTCTACGAACAATGGTTTGACAATAATGCCTGAAGCATCAGTCGCCAAAAATGCGGGTCCTTTATTCAAGCTCGGGTTTTTCGATACATTTCGCCCAAACAAAAGTCGTGTTCGCAAAAAACGTTGTTCAGCGTAGCAGCTTTGATCCGGGATTTCTCTTGCTTGAGGCCCCTTTCTGTAGGCCTGCACCAAAAACATCTTGGATTTTCATATGCTGATCCGATCCATGCCTAAAAAAGCTCCCGCACCGCTGAAGATATGCAAAATCGGAACCAACCAAGACCCAACCTCTCTTGTAGCGAACCGGAATCAATGCATGCTCAGGGAGCCATCAATTGAAAGATAGTCTGGAAATTGCCTTCTCAACAAATCTCGGCTTGGGGTGGAGGTTGTTTCGTCCTATAGTTTGAGCCGGGCGTTTCCGAAATGAATCGTCTACGAGGGGCAGACTTCTGCAAGGTTGCACATAATCTGGAATTTTGCTCATAAGTTGACTTCCCATATTTCCCCTGGGCGCTCGTGCGAACCCATCTTTTCCCGACATTAACCGGTACAAAACCATACCAAACAAAATCCCGCATCAAGTCATCACGCCCAGATTTAGCGGTAGGCGCATTTTGAAGTACCGAAGAGTAGCGAAGATCTTGTGTGTTCACCTTGAGGGACTATACAGCCTGGGTTTTTTGTGGCGATCATTGCCTGTTGAAGATTTTTTGATAGGAAACCACCAGATTTCATTGGAAAACCCTGATAATAAACGGTAGATGTCCTGTACCCTATTATTTGGGCTTACTGCATTCACTGTACAACTACGAAGTACAAATATCATCGAATACCCATATCCATTAGTGTCTTCAAATCCATCTTCCATCCCTGTTGATGGTTTTTCATCTCCATGTCGCGGCATGTTTCGGCTTGGGGCACCAGCGCCGCCTCAGCGCCAAAAAATCCAGGTGTGGACGGTGAGTATGGCGATGGATTTGAACTCCTGCAGATGATGGAAGAGTCGCTTGATGTCGAAAACGTCGGACGCGGGACCCGTTGGGAAAACCCATCTACAAATGGAGCGGGACCCAAAGTCATAGGGATACCCCCAATATCCCCCAATCATCATCCATTTGAAATCATTTGAATAGAATTGTTCACTATAAAATCTATAAAACCATCCCTTTTTGGGTACATTTTAGGATATCCCCATTATAATCATTATATCCTTGCAATATCTCCATCAACCACAATGTATTTGTTGGTGAAGTTACCCGATATAGTAAACCTGTACATACTGTAGATGTAACAGCCATGGGAACCCGTTCGGAAAAGAATCTACAAATAGTGTGTTTTCCACGTCGAACTGTTAGTTCACACGAGGCTATATCAACCACTTTGCCAATGAGATTTTCATATAGATAGTGTGTTGGCTAAGTTGGTTTATAATTGATATAACTAGGCTTTGTGGCAGATATATCTATACTTATACTGGAGTCTATAAACCAAGTTATAAGTGGCGGAGCCCACCTTGTACTTGTAGGTTAATGGCTGCTTAATTGTTAGGGTTTTACTAGGATATCCTAGGGATAGAGATATCATACTGTAGGGATATAACCAACCATAACGGTGGTGATGGGGCCCCTTCAAAATTTATCTGCAGAGATATCCAGAATCACCCAACATCTACAAGGAATGATGGAATTGATAATATGAATATAAATGAGCCATGTTGAGCAGCAATTATATATTATGATCGAAGACAATCTATCTATATATATATATATACAGATATGGTTACTTATTGGTTCATTTATTTTGCTTCACTTCCCCCCACCAGCGCGTGCCAGCTCTTCCAATTGCTGCTACCTCACCCAGGGCTGGAGAGGTGTTTGAAGTGGAGACTCTTCGTTTTGCGTAGTGGTTCCGGAATCTCAAATGAGTGCCGGTTCCCAAATCGAGAGACTTTTAGATCGGAGACATGTTTGAAACTTAATCTGAATTCTGCCATTCCTTTTTGCCATCAGCTCAATCAGTCGGCCATGACGGCTTTTTGCTGGAAAGCTGTAGAAGTTGACAGGTCACGTAGAAGAAAGGGTATGACTGGAAGGATTTGGCATACAAAGGCTTGGAGAGCGCGCGTGTACTCTCTAACTTTCCCAGGTTGTTGCTGCATGATGCGAATGATTTTGCACATCAACATTTGGTTCTGTCGAGTATACTTCTGGTCCTCCAATCTATGTCGTGACTTGTGCGATGTCCACTTGGATGCGCTGGGCAACTTTGAGCCCAGTCGTTCAACCTGATTGACAGCCATAAGGCTATCAATCATTTTCCCTTCGCCAGCCAGACAACCAGACAAAAAAGAGCCACCGCATATCACGAAGCTGGCGACAAGTTTGCGGTGGCATGCGACATGACGGTTTCAAAGGAAGAATGAATTTTGTTGTGATGCATGATGAATGTGATGTATATTACCCTTTGAAGTTGTGGGTGAGCAAAGAGTTTCAAACATAAGCCTTTCACCCATCTTAGCACCGATGTTTGGACTTTCATCCCAAAACCATCCAAAAGCTACCTATGCTACACGATCTGTAGTGAGCAGGGGAAGCCCATTCAAGGAATCCATGAATCCCTGAATTGGATCAAGGGAAACATATAATGTTACCGGACATGAAAGGAACTCCCCCTTTTCTGGATGTTCAAATTGCCTTCAGAACATTGCCAGGGGATGAGTCGGAGTTGGGCAGCTTGTTGCAAGCAGCTCTAGAAAAGGAGGACTGGGAACAGCACCAGATGCCAGGAATCCCACATGCCTGGTTTATTTTGGTTGATTTCTAGATGCCGCCTGGTTTCTTTGGCCACATTTGACACTATCTGTGCTGCAAGTGTTTATTTTTCTCATCTGGGATCCGTGCAAAGTTTCTTATCTGAAGTTTTGGAGCAGGAGGCGAGTTAGAATTCAGATTTGTTTGTTTTACATATGTTTTAGAAGCGGGGTCACGCATATACGCAGTGAAAATGGTTTTCCCATGTTTTCCCAACGGAAGCACTTGCTGGGCAGTAGTTTCGCACTAGATGTTTTGACAGAAGGGTTTGATCAAGAAATTCACAGCCTGTTTCATTGATCACCGGTCCGTTTTCTGGAAATTAAGTTCGCGCTGCCAATCGGTCGCTAGTCCCTTGAAAACAGTGCCCCGCTGGTGTCACCCAGATGCGAACTTTGGGCAACAAGTGGAAACACAAAAGCTAGTGTTGCAGCTAGACAACGGCTAGATTGTGCGCAACCGTAGCACACATATGGATACATATCTCCCATTTTAGGAAACCCCCATAATATGGAGATGTCTTAAAATGGGAGATCCACAAAACCATAGGCTTTGATACTAAAAAATACCAAAAAAACATATGTACTCAAATGGCCTCATATTGGATGATTTGGGGGCATACCCCTATGACTTTGGAAACCTACATTTCACTCCACGTCTGTGTGACAAAGATATTCATATTCATCCGATGGTGCAGCTGACCCAGAGCCTCAATGATGACTTACTGTTAGATGCAAAAGCCCAGCGGAAGTGCTCATTTCCTGCTCTTGCACGGACATTGGAAAGGACGACATTTCGGTATGCTGTACAATATTGTATATAATTATAAAACATGATTTGTGTTAATCGACATTTAGGTGTGTAGTTATACATTATGATATTTATTATACAAATTTATACAATGAATTCTGTTAATCATATAATCATATCATCATCGTATCTCTTTATGATTCTCAATGTATCTCAGGTCATCAGATCTCGTTCAGAGAGAGTCTGTTGATGGAGGTTTCGCCAAAATATCGGAATGATCCAAGCTGTTACTCATTGTGATCACAGATATCACAGATATCACAGCGATGGCTTTCCCTAAAAATATCTTTGAATATCGCGAGGGGTGCATCAATCAAGGGCCATGCAGACTTCATCACCTGCTTGCAGTTTGTTGCAGTTTGTTGCAGTTTGTTGCAGTTTGTGCACATCATGGTATCCACCCTGGGAGAACGATTCTTAGTCTGACCTGTTCACGATGTTTTTTTTTCTCCGGGTGGGTGGTGCCAGGGTTCCCCGTGGTCGCCTCGGCGCCAGGATTTGGAGTCTTTGTTGCAGGCCATCATCAAAGCGCAGGCTGAAGGCCATCCTATATGCCATTTGCCATTTGCCATGCTTGGGTTCTTGGATAGTTTGGGGGGGAAAAAATGGGAAAAACATATACTGGTTGCACTGGTTGGTGCTTTGGAACATGGCTGGATTATTTTTTGCCATATCTTGGGAATGTCATGATCCCAATTGACTCATATTTTTCAGAGGGCTAGGTCACCCACCAACCAGTATAGGTCTCATTGACAAATCCCACCCGGCATGGTCCGAAGATGTCCGAATTGCTTGACTTTTGGCGAATCCAACGTGGAAATTGATTACCGGAGTTTAGATACCTTCCAGGAATGACATGTAATGAACTAACTATGGCAATGGACAATCCCTCATTTAATCACGAAAAGACTCTATAACCATGCTCATCCGTTTCAATTGCCAGTTTTTTTTTGGGGGATTACACCATCATTAAGCACATTTAAGCACAATATTGAAGCCAATAAGCATCATACCGCTACAAAAATATCATCATCTCATGGGGATTCAACATCCGGGTACCAGCGACGCCGGCACCAGCTACATCCCCACAATCCCATGAAGCGCCCAGGGTATTTGTTGGTTAAGTTACTCCCAGGGTAAACAAACTCCCAGACGTAGAAAACCCATGGTTTCAGATTCGGAAAATGATCTGAATCTACTTAAATGGTGGATTTTCCACATCGAACTGTTAGTTTATTCCATTTTATCCCCACAATATCCCTGTTGGATCCCAAACATGTATCTTCATTAGTTCATATACATTATATATAATCTGGTTGGTGGTTTGGAACATTTGGATTATTTTCCATAATATATGGGATGTCATCCTTCCCATTGACGAACTCGTATGATTCAAGATTGTTTTTTAAGCACCAACCAGTATAATTATGGAAAATCACAATTTTTCATGGGAAATTTCACTATAAATGGTGATTTTCCATTGGGCTATGGCTATAGTATCCCAACTATATCCCCATGATCAATGGATTGGTTTTGTTGGGAAAATCTTAACCGGAAACCATACATTTTCCCATTGAAATATTGTAAAATTCCTGTCAATTTTCCCTTAAACCATCTTAAACCAATCCATTGACCCATGATCTCCCCATTGTCACCAGCATATCCCCAGGCATCCTGGCTGACCTCGTGGACGTCGCCAGATCCAAGGCCTCGCAACTGCAGCAGCGCTTGGCACAGCTCGCCACGGCCGCCGCCTTTTGAGGGCACGGCTGGCACGGCCAAGGCGCCAAGGCGCCAAGGCCATGGATGCCATGGCAGAAAATGGTCAACCAAAACTGGGAAAATCCTGGAGAAATCATGAAAATCGATCGAAACACCATGAAAATTCATGGAACAAACATGAAAATCCATCGGAACGATGATGATGGAAAATTGATCGGAACATCTTGGTTGGCAATGGAAAATCATGGAACGTCCTGCGATATCCTTTGTGAACTTTGAACAGCAATGGGAAAGTCATCAAACCAGATGATGTTGCATTACCAAACGTGATTCAAGCAATATTCAATTCCCTCATATGACATACGCAACAAATCCGAAACGCAATAACATCATTATTTTTGTGGGTGGGTGTTTAGTAATAGGGAGCCGTTGAAACCAGGCGGCCTAGCGCCTTGGCACGGTTGGTGCTGAGCCCTGGGTCATTTCAATGAGACACGACATATATGTTCCATTGTTGTTGATGCTATACATAGGCATTCCTGAATTGATTGGATGTAGTGAATTGAAGATGATGTTTGATCTTGGAAATAACCCTCTGGTAAACTAACATAGCCATTGAAACTGGCCATTTATAGTTGATTTTCCATCAAAAATGGTGATTTTCCATAGTTATGTTAGTTTACCAGAGGGTAATTTAAATCATCTCGGCGCTTCTTTTTTCCCAACTGTTCTATCTGGGGTTGGTGCGGTTGATCATGGCTCATGCAGCAAATGACCTGGGCGGCATCAACGTTGTACATGGCATGGGCAGGGCTCACTTTATGCGTGTTTCTATGGTTTTTCCTTCTTCCCCCCGAAACTGGATAGTATAGTCGTCCCTCAAAAAGATAGAAAAGTATAGAAAAGTAAACTATCACATATTTGTCACTCATCACTACTTAGTGGGATATGATATGACATGTTTTTTGTGGGCTACTGTTTGTATAATACCAAGTGCAGTTTGTTCGCCATGGGTCGCCAGCTGGGCAACTTGTGGGTATGTCTCCATGTTTTTACTGTCTTGGACAATATTTGCGGATGTTATTTGTTCGTGCGTTCATTTGTTCGTTCGTTCATTGATTGATTGATATTCATTCATTCGTTTGTTCGTTCGTTCATTCGATCATTCATGCATGCATTCATTCATGTCAATCACTTCATTCTTTCATGTCATTTTTTCATGAATTGTGTGCTAGAGTGAGGCTCTTCAATGGGTGAGTCACAGTATCTCTGGGAGCCGTGCCCTGAATGAATCATCCATGACGGTAGCAAGCTCCTTGCAACACCCGTCGGCAAACCGTTCATGTGGACAGGAGCAGATGCTGATCCAGCACAAAAAAAAATGCGGCGAAATCTACTGTTGCCTGGTGGGTTCACAGTATATGTACTGTAAATGTATATTATATCATGCAGGGAATACCCTAATATGGCACAGATTTTGTGGGCTCCCCACTGTCAGACAACCCCAAGTTGGCAGGATGAACTCGACATCGCCGGTGGCAAATTGATCTTCACCGTGGCA